CCACAGCATGTCATCATGGAGTGCAGGAGTGTGGCCGACCAACGGGCACGACTTCTCCAGTCACCAGAATCGTTTCCGGAAGCTTGCAGCAGTCTATCAAGGCTGCTTTCCTTCTGGACCGATATAGGCTGGCTGGAGTAAGCGGGAATGTTTTTGAGATACGCTAATGGTCCAATAATTAGGACTAAGTGCGGAAACCGCCCTGAAAAACTAACTAACAGTGTAAATAATTCATCTTCAAGTGTCTCGTACAGTAAAGATATTTGAGAACTCGCAAGGCATATTTGAAATGTGTATCACTATAAGCATTTTGGAACCGACTCAAATAGTTTACGCTATAAGATACGTCTGGCCGTGTTCCACTCGCAACATACAGAAGAGCTCCAATCAAGTTTCTATACTTTAACGTTGCACTGACATCTTGACTTGGTTCAATGCTTAAATTCATTTCCATTGGTGTCTCAAAGTTCTTTGATTCGATTACGTTATACTTTTCAGATAAACTTACAATGTATTTTTCCTGGCTTAAAGTCATTCTGCCTTCTTTTGGTTTAAAAACTACATCTATTTCAAGATACTGTTTCACCTTTCCCAGATCTTTCATTCGGAATCTATTGTTCAATAGCCTTTTAACTTTTTCTCCCCACAAATCAAAGTATCATCCACACACAGACATAGATATATATTTACATTATTTACACATCCTGTATACAAACAATAGTCATAGTCTGACCTATTGAAATTAATGCTTGTCATGAATTCGTGAAAGCATTCATACCAATCACGTGGGCTTTCTCGCAATCCATAAAGGGCTTTTTGTAGTTTGCATACTTTATTATTCTCTGTACAATATCCATCAGGTGGGTAAATGTAAACTTCAGACTTAATACTCCCATTCAAGAATGCTGTCTCAACGTCCATTTGTTCAATGTTCCATCCTCTTACACATGCAATTGATAATAAAGCTTTCATCGTCGTCATTCGCGCTACTGGTGAATAAATTTCCTCGTTTTCTTCATACATCTGTTGGAAACCTCGTGCGACTACTCTTGCCTTATACTTTCCATTTGACTTGATCCTAAAGATCCATTTAACATCTATTATTTTCTTATTTTCTGGTCTATCAACTAAAATCCATGTTTCGTTCTTTTCCAAACTGTTCAATTCCTCTTTCATTGCATCTTTCCATTTATTTACATCCGGACTTTTTATTGCTTCATCATACGTATCTGGTACCAGTGCATCACTAAAATTTATATATACAACATGATCTTTATATTTCTCTGGCATTTTTCTATCTCTTTTTGGTTGGACATCCGTCACCCCCTCAGTCACAGCTCTACTGGTTTTATCTCCTGAGTCATCAACACTATCATAAAATTCTTCGTTTTCATTACTTTCATCTTCAGGATTTACTATCTTTATACCTATAAATGTAACGTGACGACTAATAACATTTTTTTCGTTTATTAATACTCTTTATCCCGTATCTGTGTATCCTACTAATATACCTTTTGTAGCCTTTGGGTTAAGTTTTGATGTGCGTAATTCGTCTGGAATTCGTACATAGCATTGTGATCCGAAAATTTTTAAATTACTTACATTTGGCTTCCTCCCCATAAAAATTTCGTACGGTGTTTTTTTCTCATACATATTTGTTAAAATTCTATTTCCTAGATATGCTGCAGTCATTACGCATTCAGGCCAATATTTCTTATTTATCTTTGCTTCTGTAAGCATACATCTCGCTTTCCATTATGGTTCGGTTAAATCTTTCAGCTACACCGTTCAACTCGTGTGTATAAGCTGGCCCCTGGTTTTAAATAAATACCTTTTTGCTTTGTGTAAGTGTAGAAATCGTTGTTAATATATTCTCCGCCATTATCACATCTGATTTCTTTCACTCTCTTACCTGTTTGATTTTCCACCATATTTACATAATCTCTAAAACAATTAAAAACATAACTCTTGTTATTAATTAAGCATAGATAAAGCTAACCTACTATAGTCATCTATGACACAAAGTATCGTTGCCCCTTATATCCAGTGGGCGTAATCGGGCCTGCCACATCCGTGTGGATAATCTCTAACAAGTCTGTTGCCCGTCGTCTTTGATTTCCAAAAGGTAGATTCGTCATTTTGTTCATCAAACAAACTTCACATTGCACGTAACCCTCGCCTCAAGTGATAGGTAACCCATCTACAACCCTATGCCTGCACATTTCATTTAGTTTCTTAAAGTTAGGATGCCCAAGTATTCTATGCCATTTTTCTTTTTCTGACATAATGTTACCACTTGTGTATGCTACTGTACCTGCACCTAAATTAACTCTGCCATCTAATTCGTACAATTTATTTTTCTTGCGTGCGACGGCCATTAAACCTATTTATATATATTTGCTATTTCTCCTCTAAATTGGATTGTATTATTTCTATTTACAATGCATGAAACGCTTAATAAGTTCTTTTTCATATTTGGAACATAATATATATTTGAAACATCAATTTTATTTGACTTACCTCCTGCTTTACATTACATTGTTACATTTCCTATTTTCTCCGACTTAAGACAAAATCCATCACCTACCTTAATATTCACAGGTGTTTCTAAAATTTTATAGTCACGAAAGAATTTATCGTCATTTACGATGTGATCGCTACATCCGCTGTCCAATAACCATGTCATATCCGCTTTCGTTTCGGTAGCTCCTGTCAACGCTTCTACTTCTACGTTGAATCCAAATCCATCACTGGTGCTGCTACTCTGTCCTGTATTCACGCTTCTATTGTTATATCCTCCTCTATATTCCCTGTGAGTTCCTCGTCGTCCGCCTCCATATCGGCGTCCTCTACCACGACCATGACCACGACGTGCTAACTTAGGACAATCCCTCCTGTAGTGTCCTGGGCGGTTACATTCAAAGCAGTTATCATTATTCCTGGACCCATCTTGGTGTTGATTTGATCGAGAACTGAACGTATGACCTCCTTGTTTGCTCTGTTTTCTTTTCATTTCAAGTAGTAATTTGGACTTCACGTACTCCACTGTCCGATCCTTTGTTGGCATCGCATCAACAATATTTACAATATGTGCAAAACTCTCAGGTAATGCAAGCAATAAATAGTTATATAATAGTCAATCCTCTTCCGAAACGACTTCTCCTGCATTTTTCAATTCATTGATTTGTTTTTCAAATGTTTGTATGAATTCTAGTATATCGTCGCCATCTTTGAATTTTGTTTCTAGTACTTTCCTTTTAATCAATAATTTACTAAATACATCTCGTCAAATTTTTTAATCATCCCGTAAGCCGTAGTTTTATTCATTATTATATCGAGCTGAGAATTATTTACGCTATTTACTATAATATTTCTAGCCTTTAAATCAATTTTTCTCCATTCCGTGTCTGTCATACCTTCATGTTTCATATCATTTTCCACAGCTTCTTGGCATTCTTTCATTTGTAACAACAACTTTAATCTAAATTTCCATTTTTCGTAATTTGCACCATCAAATATCTGAATGCCTACTTCTCCTATCTTTACTTCCATTTTCGGTACCTTACGTCTTCAATTGTTTCGGTACTGACCTTGTCAAATAATTTCCACTTATCTTCCTCTTTCTATTTATTTTATTCAACCACGCTCCTTTGCTACCATGTTGAGGAAGTGGATCGTAGAAAGGAAAGACAATCAGTGTTAATAACTTTACGGCAAACTTCATCATCTTGATCTTCCCAGCTAAGAGAACAGTCTATGAGTAGACCGAGATCTTTGACATCAGCTTGAAATCCAATTGAAGTACCATTTTAAAGTAACGGTTTTAGTGAACCTAAATCCAGAAGGGACAACTGTCGGGAGGTCCCTATTATGATTGCTTGGCATTTAGCTGGATTAACGGAGATACCGTAACAGTTGTACCATTCTGAAATACGCTGAAAGTCGTCTTTTAGGCGCACCATAGACTCATCTAATCCATTTTGGTCCGCATGAACATAAAGTTGGAGATCGTCTGCATATAAATGGTAAGAAGAATGAATCATAGTAGTGAGAATGTTGATAAACAACGAAAAAAGAAGAGGAGAAAGAATACCGCCCTGTGGAAGACCAGCAATGAGTTCGCACCTGTCCTAGATGGTCTGGTCTACCCGAACAGCCTGCTGGCGTCCACGAAGATATAATGAAAATCAGATCCTTACTGAAGAAGAAACTCCCAGATGTGAAAGGATTTGCCAGGAGAATATCATAGATAACCAGGAGAATATTATATGTTGAATACGTTTGAGAAGTCAATGAGGACCATAACAGTTAAATGCGATTTCTCCATACAGTTGCGAATGTCATCCAGGACATGGATAAAGGCAGTGGAGGTACTATGACTAGAACGAAACCCAGATTGTAATGAGCTATGAATTTTGTAGCGACAGATACTCGTTAAAGAGGAGAGTTGATTGTGGACAGCAGTTTCTAAAACTTTTGGAAGAAAAGGAAGTATAGTTATGGGCCGATAGTGGCTTACAGAGGAGGGGCTATTAATATATTTGTTTCTTAGGTTTAGGGGCTATTAATTTTAGGGAGAGGCGTAGTTAGTGCTTTACGCCAGGTAGAAGGAATGGTAATAGAAGAAAGCGAAAAATTAAGAATTAAGGTTAGACTCGGGGAGTTTAATACGCCGGTGTAAATTGAAATGTATTTGAAATTCGTGTTCTAATATTAATTAATACAGCGGATTCCAAGTCGAGTAATAGTTTGTTCCTACAGAATAGCACTGCAGACTTCCTGTGAATTGGTGCAGTTCGGTCGAGTGCTCCAGTTATAAATTCATAATGATTTTACTAGGATTTTGTTATAATCGGACTACTTTCAGAAGAGGAAGAGGTAGAAGAAGAAAGCGGGTGGACGCTGCAGGGCGGGTGCAAGCGCAAAATCACTCGCCTCTTTCAGTGTTGCCGCGTCGTGTCTCAGTGTGAACTGAACCTTATTAAAGACGTAAATCTTCTAAATTAAAGCTATAATAAAAAACACTGCATTTTCCCTATCGCAATTATGCCATAGAAAAGTATATTTTTAATAATAAATATTTTTAATATACTTGAGGTAGACATTACAATTTAACTTAAATTACTATTTTATTCTGCACAACTAAATCTCTGGAGCTATCGTGAAACGCATCTATCATTCGGTGGCGAGCCATTTCTGAGAGGGTGTCTAAATCATCACGAGTCATACCTTTCGTGGATATAGGAGGCAATGTTGTAATAACGACTTTTCCTGAAACGGAAAAATATATTGACCACCTACATGAATAAGGTAAACTAATGTATACGCAATATCCTAAATTTAAATCAGATAGATTTTTTTATAGCTGATTTGTGTGACACTTCTCCAAAAAAATCAACATACGAGAAAGCGTATAGTCGGGTCTCCAGAAAAAAGTTTTTTAAAAAAATCATCAAATACACCGTACTCGTTGTTTCTACAACATGTTTCCCTACATACAGTGCGATTCAACTAAGAATAGGACCGATTGGGCGCCATATTGTGACGTCATAGCTGTCAATTCAACCCAATTAGGTAGAGTGAGCAAAAAAGTTTTCCTTTGATAAAACTTATACTTATGTGAAAAGAAATATCAGTTTTTTTATTATTATTTTTTTACTAATATTGAGAGAAATAAAAACGTATTTTTTATAATATTTAATATGACTGAGTGAGAAAAAATATTGAACAGAATCAAGCTCTTTAAATCTGAGAGCAAGAGCGCGAAGCTCGACGCGCAGACAGGGTATAGTTATCTGTATTTATAATAAAACTAAAGTTGTTATATTTCCCTTTTTCTATACTCATTTTCTATACGTTCACATGATTTATTACCTTCTTTTGTTCACAAATGTTTAGTCTTTATTCTAAGATTAGCTCAGTGCTAAAAAAGTATTCCAAGATATTTTTGTAATCCATACTTTTCAAGCGACATCTGACAGATGGAGGTCATTGACTTTCCTATTCATATTTGAATTGCATAGTACGCTGTCTACTGGTCTCGTGGCGGTCATTCACAAAATACACAGGGCTGCATACAAAAACTACGATCCAGGTGCAACAAATGTCAAATTTGACAAAAGTTTCATTTATTATATGTCAAAATTGAAACGTCAGAGTGAAAAGTAGTACTCGAGCATAGGTTTGGAATGGAGCCCCTGCTAGCCATTTGTCAAAAATGGCCGATGAAACAATACCCTGCACAACTATTATTGAAAATAGTCTCCATTTTATATTTACATATAAATGTTTTATTATTACTAACTTATCTATATTATAAACGTACCCGGTTCAAAAGTCTTTGTCTCACTATCAAGAAAATAGTACTGACTAAAAACAACGGGCATAATCGGTATTTGAGCGTCAATTGCCAAATAAAATGCTCCTTTTTTAAATGGTTGAATGCTTCCCTTATTATATCTTGTTCCTTCAGGAAAAATCCACAATTTTGTCTGTAAAGTAAAGATTAAGAGGATGATGTACATTTAGAAATTAGTACTTATAATTTTTATTTTTTAAGCATGTAACTGCTTGATGTTTAAATCTAAAGAAAATATAATTAGAAAAAAATCCACGCGGACCAGGCAGCAGACGGGACTAAGTACTTGTCAATATACGATCGTTCTTGCGCGTAAGCACACGAGCACCCGATGCGTTGCGGTCAGAAAATTATTTAAACTTACCGCTATTAATATTATTCAACGTGTCGCTAGTCGCAAATATATTTTACTATTGCGTAAAACTGCGTGAGAATGTCTGTAAACCTAACGTCAGAGTATGCGTGACAGAAATTACGCTTTGTTCTAAGTCAATTAACCCTCTGTTTGAACACTAGATATGTACTTTGTGCTGATACCTAGGCCGAGTTGATTTTTATTTTTGGGAAGCAGTATAATGCATAATATATTTACTATTCTCATTGTTAAACACCAACCACGCCACTTTAGAGCGTAGAATGTCATTCATGTCTTAGATTATCTGGCACTAATCCAATGTCCATCACTCCCACTCTAACAGGGGCCCCAATGGCACAGTGGTTAGCGACCGTGGAAGCAAAAAACTTTTGTGATGGTCACTTAAGGCTAGTTCGTACTACGCTAGTATTTTAGTCTTACTAGACTAAACACAAAACTACAGTAGTAGTAGCGTGTAGTTTAATAGTTAAAATGCTCACTGCCCAAAAATATCGCTCCAACGAAAGGAAAATTTTGAAACACTAATGAACTCAACTAATTTGACAGCTTCGGAACTTCGAACTAGTTTAGTCGGTGAACATGTAAGCACGGATGCGTGGTGGGAGGTGCTACTTGACCATTAAAAATAGAACAAAGTGGATCGACTGTACCAAATAACTTGCTATCTGTTTTACTAAATTTTCGTAAACTTATGGAATTTCGACGTATTTTTTAATATTATGCCATCTTCATCAAAACGCGCGTAAAAATAAGTCGGCACTGTTTATAGTAAATAGAGACATTTTTTTACAGATCTTAAACGTTACCTTCTCCATTATAGCGCGCTCAGTAGCCTTTCTCATTAATAGCCTTGCCTTATCGGTTTTTAAACGATCTATAAAAACTAGTCCGGATAGCCAAGCCCCGAACCCAAAAGCACCAGCAAACATTAAAGGTCTTTTAGCGACCACTGTGCATCTTTTCATTTGCGGCCACATCTCAAACATACCTGGAATTTCGTAAAAATTTAAACATCTGGATATTTTTTATTTAATTCATTTTAGTAGAAATATTTAAGGCTTACCTAAAATATCTAAAGAACTCTGATGGTTGGATATTACAATAAAGCATTGTTCATTATTCCAGTTTTCCATACCCCGTAGTTCCCATTCTATGCCCACAATAAAGGAGGCGTATCGACAAAATTTGGAAGCAACTCTAAACAACAATACTTAATTCATTAAACATTTTTCAACACAATTCTTAAATGGATTGCCGTGGATAGAAATAATCAATACTTACATTAAGTTAGTAACATCTCTTGGATATAACAGGACAACGGGTAATAAAACAGTGCAAGTAGTCAATACATATGCATAGTAAAGAAAAAATTTCAGATAATATCGAAACCAATTACTTTTTTCGTATAAAAAAGGCAGAGTAAATATAAAACCCGCCAAAAATAATTCAGGATATGAATAGGAGGAAGCCATATCGGTGGTTGACATTTTCCCCGGTATTACCAGTCTTAAATAATGTTAAACCTTTGCTTTTATCTACTGGCAATCAAATTTGTTTTTATGGTTTCTGCCTGCTTATTTTCTGAGTGAGAGAACTCTATCCTGCTGAATTCAGCACACGGAAAAGCCGCGGGACTTCGCTAAACACGCAAAAGAGATCCTGATATCCATCTCTTTTACATGTTTAGCGCTGACCCGCATGCTGGATCTAGCAAGATGGCTAGTGCGTAGAATCTGAGGTACGGCCGTACCCTTCAGATTCAGATGTGCACTCAAATTCAGATTCAGACTCAGAAAACAGGCTCGTGAGATGTCAGCTTGAGGAAAGCAGGTGATGGCCACAGTGGAGGCAGATAATACAAGACGTGGATGCGAGCACTGTTGCCAGGTTGGGGGAGGTTACTCCAAATTTGGGGGGTTTTTAAAGTGATGGGGGGATTAAATGGGGGAAGAAATTTTGTTTTGGGGGAAACGGGGTTTTCTTTATTACATTTTTATATAAAAATAAAATCACTTCATAAACTTTTAATCTGTAAAAAGTCGCAATCGACAGACATTCAGCAGTGTCTCTTTCTCATTCGACGCGTTCGAAGTTGTTGATCTAGAAACTTAAATTGGGGGGTGTTTTCGCAGTTGTAAACTTGGAGGAGTTTTCTAATGAAGATCGATCGGAGAATATGGGGAATACCATTATTTGTTTCTCTAATTAAAAGTCAATAGGAAACGTTTCTTCCAATATTTTAAGATGGAAGTGGAAACGTTATAACCACTACTTTTAAAAAAAAATTAACCTCACATGATGAAGAATTAACAACAGTCTCTCCTTTTCATTCTGTAGAGAATGGCAAGGATGCACTGTTGTCAAATTTAAGTTTAGATTTAGAGAATCGTGCCAGAATCGACACCAGTATGTGATTATAATATTTACTTAATTTTTAAAATAAATATATTTTTGTTGCTCTTTGCCTTACTAATATTATAATAACAATCTCTAATATTTTTTAAGAAAGCTTTTACTGTTAAAAATGTGCTTTAAGCTAAATTTAGTAATTTCGCCCACTACGTATTTTTTAGAAATATAGTATTTGATCCCCTATTAAAGGAGGATACTATATTTTATATGAGGGTTGGGAACCCTACCTGCAGTCCGAGCGGCGCTGGTGAATTCAGAATCTGAATGACCTAAACATTCCGGTAAAGTGTCTGACTCCGAAACCTGCGCGGGCCTGCTGCCACTATGGCCACCCTGCTTTAACAACACTGTTTATTTCTGGCGCTTGTTTTCTGAGTCTGAATCTGAATCTGAGTGCTAGGGTACGGGTACGGCCAGAGTGCCCTCAAATTCAGATTCAGATTCCGAAAACAAGCGCGAGAAATAAACAGTGTAGTCGAAGGGTACGGCCAGAGTGTACTCCTGATTCAGATTCAGATTCAGACTCAGAAAACAAGCGCGAGAAAAAGCAGGCAGAAATATAGTTATAAAGAATAGGATCGACGGGGCGCCATATTGTGACGTCATAGCTGTCAATTCAAACGAAAAAGGTAGAGTGAGCAAAAAAGTTTATATTTAATAAAAGTTATTTACTAAGATTAATAAGATTAAGTGAGAAAAAACATCCGATTTTTTTAATAAAATTTATTTACTAAAATTGAGAAAAGAAAATAATCGATTTTTAAATAAAACTAGTTTTTACGGGTTAATGCACGAAACTTTATTTATTTATTGACGTTTCGTAGCCTTTAAAGGCTACGTCGTCAGAATCAAACTTTTATTTAATTTGTCGAGCTACCTTCGAAAGATTTTTATTGAGCGTTCGGTTATTTCATTGTTTCAGCAATACGTCAATAAATAAATAAGTTTCGTGCATTAACCCGTAAAAACTAGTTTTATTTAATGAGTGATGTGCGTGAAAACCTAAGAAACAAATAATCGATTTTTAATAATATTTATTTATTAAGGCTGTGCGAGAAAAAACATTAATCAGAATTAAGCTCTTCAATTCCCCTCATCTCTGCATTACCGCCGGAGTAGTTATGAATAATTATGCACTATTACTAGGTCACATACGAACATGCATCTTATATGTAAACCAAAGTTTTAAATCGAGTTTCTGAACGCAACTTAAAGTGGCATTTGGTTGACGATTTTGGTTATCAAACATTCATTCATAGCCAAAGCTCAACTGGCAGATGTGAAACATCGACATTATTTTGTAAAAGTAATATGCAGAAAAGAACAGATTGTGATAGGAACTAAATATGGCATAATAATAAAATAAAATATTACGATTTTTGGCCAGAAAAAGATGACTACGTAATAAACATTTATTTTCATTAAATACAAAAATCGAATTGGATTGCACATGGCGACTCGTCGCCACACCGTACACACTACCGCATAAAGACTATATATATACCATCATATAGCGTGGCGACGCGTCGCCACGGTATGAATCGCCACGCTAGAAATCGGTTTAACGTGTTTTAAAAAAATCTGCATTTTTTTGATGTGAAACATAAATGATGTTGGTGATGACTGTCTTCTTATTATTGAGTTGAGCTCTTTTCGTAGCAATGACTCAAATAGTGCATACAAACTTTAACCACAATTTTGGCAATCGGAAAAATATAGGGGCTTTTATTTATTTTCACGAAATCTTGGGTAAACTGAGAGGATGTAAATGGTAAAACGAAATTAATACCTGGCAACACTGTCACCCACCATCTTTCTTTCTTTAATTGTGGTTGTTCAGTGCCACCGAGGCGTTCTTTTCATAAAAAAATAATATGGTGAGAATTTATTGAAAAATATGTATTTGCTTGGCGCTTTCCTAGTTATTGGTCTGCTTTATTGTTAGTATTAATTGTATATGTGTGTTGATTACTGTCATAATCGCTGATAGAATAATCATGGAGCACTTGCCATATTTCCCAGTGCTCACCATTTAAGTTTGATTATATCTTAACAGTTCTCATAAATTTGTAATTATACTCTTGATATTAACTTGCACAAAAGAATCTGTTAGGATGTATTTTCTTAGGATCTTTTCATTTATGATGATACACAGACACATGCGCGTCATCTGATGGAGCAGAGAACATCTTTATTGAACTTCAGTACCATGTTTTATGGATATTGCATGTTTGATTTTGTTGTATCTGCACCATAATGTGATTATAAAGTGTCTCTGATAAATTGTAAAAATATAAGTACTCCATTTGATAAGTGTTCACTTCTAAGATAAAAACTTTCTTTTTCAGGGATTTGTTAAAGTTGTGAAGAATAAGCAGTATTTTAAGAGATATCAAGTTAAATTCAAGAGGCGCCGTGAAGGTAAAACTGACTACTATGCTCGTAAACGTCTGATAGTTCAGGTACTACTATATTCAATTGTTTATTATACCCAGATCGTTTTTCTTAAAAATTCTTTGATTTAATGACAGGCGCAATCAGAAAACTAAGAAATTGATTTAATGCTGTCACAGTTCATAATAGATTCGATCCGCTTGTTATCTCAAAAGATACTGGGAACAGACTACTCTATCCCTGAGCAACTTTTATTCTGTAACTTGGGGGAATGCTAAGGTTTTTATATCAGTGAAGCTTGTAGGTCCTTATGGAGGCCATACACATTAGGTTTTGCATGATGGTTTTAGCCGTATATGCATAACCGACAGGCAAGCCCTAGCGTGTATGTGATAAAACTGTACAGTTTTCGGTGCATGTAGATACATGCAACCGAACCAATATCAAAATTGATATTTTATGCCGCTCGGATATGCTCGCGCGCTAGCATAACCGAGCGTGTGTGGCGTGCGCAAGCGCAATGCCACATTAGAAGAATCCATAGAAATTTATAAGTCGGAACCTTGTCTTTGGCGCGTAAAGTGCAAAGAATACCAGAGATTGATAACTAAGCTCAAGGAATTATTGCCCACAGTTACGAAAGATGTGATTAAAAAAAAACATTCACAGTACTTAATAGGCATTCTACACACACTGTCACATAGCTCAACTGAGAGTAATAGCAAAACTGTACATGCAAATGTTTATGTGCAATATGAAACTCGGTTATGCATGCACGGCTAAAACTATCATGCAAAACCTAATGTGTATGGCCTCCATTATGGCCAATTATGACAGACAGGTGTATTTGACAGTAAGTGTCTGACATGATCCTGCAGCCAGCTTTATGGTGGATTTCACATGAGTATAGAGAATGACTAGGATACACTTGTCAAATTCCAGTATAAGTTTAGAGAATCATGCCAGAATCGATGCTACTTAGTACTATAGTAACTGATTTCATGCAACCAATGAACAACTAAAATCACTTACTATTAGTTTAAAAGACTATTTTCATAATACTGTTTTTTTTTTTAGGACAAAAATAAGTACAACACTCCGAAGTACCGTTTGATTGTACGTCTCTCTAACAAAGATGTAACCTGTCAAGTTGCATACTCACGCATCGAGGGAGATCACATAGTTTGTGCTGCATATTCACATGAATTGCCACGCTATGGTATTAAGGTGAGATTCTTTGGTGATATTATGACTAAATCTTAACAAATTCATAGTTTTGAAGAAATTGGTGATGATACAGAACGGGCGGTCTGAAAGCGTCGTACAAACGCAACAAATCATGTTGTTTTATGTTCTTTACTGAGTTATAGGTATTTATTATTAATACTCGCCCCTTTGGTTATAAGAAATTACTTGTAATTTTTATTTTGTAGGTTGGTCTCACAAATTATGCTGCAGCATATTGTACTGGTCTTCTGCTGGCAAGAAGATTGCTTCAGAGGCTAGGTCTTGATACCTTATATGCTGGAGCTACTGAGGTTACTGGAGATGAATTTAATGTAGAACCAGTAGATAATGGACCTGGAGCCTTCAGGTAGGCATCTTCACTTAATTTCCTGCTTTATTTATTATAGGAAAGATATTTTATCAACTAGTAATAACAATGTAAAACAAAGCATGCTAAGTTTGATGATATGGCAATGTCTTACTGTAATGGAGGTGGGAGATTTAGCTATGCAATCTCTAAAATTTGTATGTACTAATTATAATTATTACATTAATAAGTTCTTTAAATAATAACAAACAGAACACGGTCGTAAAGATCTGCATTTTGATGTTGTAGCTGTGTGCACAATTTTTTGTTTCGCATTCCTATAAATTCCATGCAGATTTTGACAAAGATTTCTTATTTTATGTTTACATCCACACTGGTGACCAGGCTCAGTAGCCTGGTGCCAGTGAACCATTTTAGACTTGTGCAAGACAGCCTCACCATCTAGGGCCAATAAATGCATATAAACTATACACATGTATGTGTCTGTGTCTCTATAGGTAACAGCAAAATTCTCTAGTGAAACCACAGTCAAATGAAACTTGCGCATTAGAAGTTTTTGTATGTAAATTTGCTACTGCACAGGCTATGTCTATGGTCATTGCTCCAGAAGTTTGCCATAGTTTTTATACCTTTGCATTTAACAACTTCTTGACATAATGGCTAGAGTGGCTCCTTCATAGTTATTATACCTGAAATCCACTGTCTATAATAGTTGATGGTCCATTCTATTATGATTCCCCTCAGTAACCCAGCAGAGGAAACTCCTCAGTAAGCCAGCAATCAAAATAATGTTAAATGTGATAAAAATTTTAGATGTTACCTAGATGTTGGCCTGGCACGAACAACTACTGGAGCACGTGTATTTGGTGCAATGAAAGGAGCTGTTGATGGTGGGCTTAATGTTCCACACTCCATTAAGAGATTCCCTGGTTTTGACGCTGAAGCCAAGAAATTTAATGCTGAAGTTCACAGGTAAAGTCTTAAGATTTTGAAAATATACAATAAAATTATTACTTGTATTGTCAACAACACCTCTGGACCACCCATTGGGGAGCTCTAATACTTTTCGATAATTCACAGTTGTAATGTTACAGTGCATGATGGTGCATTTATTGACAGAGAGATTGATAACAATTGGGGTTACTATTAGTTTTAAGCTATAAAGTGCACATTTTTGTTAGTCATATTTTATCTTTTACAATTATACTTAGTTTTACATAATGGAACTACCTAGTACTAGTAAGGTTTTTTTATGCTCCATTCATCCACCGATAAACAGAATCTTCTGCTTATTGGGCAGCCCAATGAGAGCTAAACAATAGAAGCAAAATTTTTGGTTGTGATAAAGAGTTAAAAAATAACTTTGGAAAACCGATTGTGCAAACATCTGCCATGAACCTGCTTGTCTATGAATGTTAATAATATCATATTAGTATACATTGCTAGTAATTCTAGATCTGTAGTGTTATGCTCTTTTCAGATCACATATTTTTGGATTACATGTTGCCGAGTACATGCGGAATCTTGAACAAGAAGATGAAGACTCATTCAAGCGACAATTTGGAAAATATATTAAACTTGGAGTGAACGCAGACTCGGTGAGTTTTTTTCATTGGCATCCATTACACGTCCGAGCAAATTACTGTTCTTTGATTCAAAAGATCAGTGTCGAAATCGGACCATAGTAATAGCAGTAAAAATAACTTTGATCATCGTTTGGATCTAAAGTGTGTTTCATTATAGCTACAATTTTTATGAAAAAATATCTTGATTTGTGATCGAAATTAAATGTAATCTGGTTGAGCCTTACATATATACTCTATGCTTTTTAGGTTGAGAACCTTTACAAAAAAGCCCATGAAGCTATTAGAGCTGACCCATCATACAAGAAGAAAGAAAACAAGAAGGATCCAGCTAAGCAAAAACGCTGGAACAAACGCAAACTGACATTGGCTGAAAGGAAGAACAGAATTAAACAAAAGAAGGAATCTTTTATCAAAAGATTACAGGCTCAAGCTGAAGCTTAGTTTGGTTTGAAAGGAAATAAACTCTTTTCATTGAAAGAAATCTGTTGTGTTGTTTTTTGTGTGTAGAGCTGAACAACCATTATTTTGATGGTATGTATTGCTGGGTCTGGCTGACAGTGGTTGTAGTCCTGCCCCTTCATTCCCAACGAGTCACACTGTGACTCGTTGGGAACAACTTGGAAACAGTTTTTGACAGCAGACTGAAGTGCATAAAGAAAAATCAGTTACGTAATACCTATTGCCAGAGATATGTTGAAATTTCTTACTGAGATTAAATAATAGACGCAACTAAAAGATGTTGCCGGTTTTTTTAATATTTCTAAAAAGTACCTTGCTGGGCAAATTTAAATTAGTTGGGCAATCTTGTAAGGTTTGACGGTACTGACCACTTTGATCTGAAATATCTCCTCTTTGGTTAAGAATTCCAAATTCAAATTTATAAATTCATTTAACTGGTACATATGAGCTTTGAAAATATTCATACATTTGGTTTTTTCCTCATGTTTTTCTTTGGCGTCGCTATATTATCTAGCTGCTCTTACAAATGTGCATTGTTAATAAAGTCAACTACAAAACTAAACGTGCGTAATTAAATATATAATGAAAAGAAAATAGCTGTGATTTCTGACACTAAAAGTGTTCATTAATATTCATAATTAAAATGTTAATTAAAAAGATCGAAATCTTAAACAATTTAAAAGTATGAAACTTTTCAGATTTGTTACAAATTAAACTTACTTAACTACAATTATGTTAACTTGAACCTGACACGCAGGTAACGGCGGTCATTGGCATGCTTCACTCAAGATTATAATTATAGAAGAGATTACGTCCGTCTTTTTTTCAGTTTCGTGGTTTTTAAATAGGTATAGGGTACGGCCACAATACACGCAGGTTCAGAATCGGATTCAGACTCTGAAAACAGGCTCGTGAGATGTCAGCTTAGGAAAGCAGGTGATGGCCACAGTGGAGGCAGATAATACAAGACGCGGATGCGAGCACTGTTGCCAGATTGGGGGGGAGGGGTACCCCAAATTTGGGGGGGTTTTAAAGCGTTGGGGGTAGAGAATCGGTGTTCACGAAAGGTTAGATTAAGGAGTGAATATGGGGAATACCACCATTTGTTTCCCCAATTAAAAGTCGATAGGAAACGTTTCTTCCAATATTTTAGGATGTAAGTGGAAACGTTCTAACTACTACATTTAAAAAAAATTGAACCTCACATGATGAAGAATTAACATCAGTCTCTCCTTTTCATTCTGTATAGAGAATGGCAAGGATGCACTGTTGTCAAATTTAAGTTTAGATATAGAGAATCGTGCCAGAATTGACACCAGTATGTGGTTATAATTAATATTTACTTTATTTTTGAAATAAATATATTTTTGTTGCTCTTTGCCTTACTAATATTATAATAACAATCTTTAATATTTTTTAAGAATGCTTTTACTGTCAAAAATATGCTTTAAGCAAAATATAGTAGTTTCGCCTACTACATATTTTTTAGAAATATAGTATTTGATCCCCTATTAAAATAGGATAAAATATTTTATAGGAGGGTTGGCAACCCTACTTGCAGTCTGAGCGGCGCTGGTGAATTCAGAATCTGAATGACCTAAACATTCCGGTAAAGTGTCTGACTCCGAAACTTGCGCGGGCAACCAGTTGCCTGCTGCCACTATGGCCACCCTGCTTTAACTAGGGACACGAAAAAAGTATCGATACTTTGTGGTATCGAGTACTTTTCCTTTCGATACCGATACTTTTGTACTCGATACTTTGTATTCGATACTTTTACTTATTGAGTACTTTTTGGCAAGTAAGTATCGATACTTTTAAAATTTGGACAAGCGCCTCATATTGTTATGATATATTCAAATTCTTTCCAATCTGTGACTGTGTTTATTTTGCGCTTTGTTTTGTTTCATAGTTATTTATTTAGCGACCATATTGTTAGGAATTGTGATTGATGATTCGCCGTTTATTGTGCTTTTCGCTTGACTGCTTTTGATGTATTCAAGTGTAACACTATTATTCTGTCTGTGCTGTGTATATCTATTTGAAACCACGGACCTGAAAAAAAGACGGACGTAACCTCTTCTATAATTATAATATTGAGTGAAGCATGCCAATGGCCGCCGTTAACTGCGTGTCAGATTCAAGTAACATTTTAATTATTAATGTGATATTAATGAACACTTTTTAAGTGTCAGAAATCACAGCTATTTTCTTTTCATTATATAATATAGCAATTTGTGAATTTATATGTCCTTTTACTGTTATTATACGTACTATAATAAAATTGGATTGTTTTTCTTTCAATTTTTAACCGGTTGCTCATCGGGCCACAGAGGATCCGATAAGGCCATATGAAATGTACTCGATACTTTGAAGTATCGATACTTTTGTTTCGATACTTTTACGAGTACGATACTTTTTTACCGATACTACTCATGAGTACAGTATCGATACTTTCTATTCGATATCGTGTCCCTAGCTTTAACTACACTGTTTATTTCTCGCGCTTGTTTTCTGAGTCTGAAACAGTGTAGATAAAGCAGGGTGGCCATAGTGGCAGCTGGCAACCTGCTTAAACTTAACTGTATATTTCTCGCGCTTGTTTTCCGAGTTTGAATCTGAATCTGAGTGCACTCTGGCCGTAGGGTGCGGCCAGAGTGCACTCGGATTCAGATTCAGATTTCGAAAACAAGCGCGAGAAATAAACAGTGTAGTCGAAGGGTACGGCCAGATTGCACTCCTGATTTAGATTCAGACTCAGAAAACAAAGCGCGAGAAAAAGCAGGCAACCTGCTTAGACTACACTGTTTATTTCTCGCGCTTGTTTTCAGAATCTGAATCTGACTCTGAATCTGAGTGCACTCTGGCCGCACCCGTACCCAGAGTGCATTCAGATTCCGAAAACAAGCGCGAGAAATAAACACTAATCGAAGGGTACGGCCAGAGTGCACTCCTGATTCAGATTCAGACTCAGTAAACATTTCTCGCGCTTGTTTTCAGAATCTGAATCTGAGTGCACTCTGGCCGCACCCTTACACAGCACAGACAGAATAATAGAGTTACACTTGAATAAATCAAATACAGTCAAGCGAAAAGCACAATAAACGGCATATCAATCACAGTTATATGATAATATGGTCGTTAAATAAAAAACTATGAAACAAAACAAAGCGCAAAATAAACACAGTCACAGATTGGAAAGAATTTGAATATGTCAGTTACTGACTGATCAACGCAATGGAACGTTTTAGGTTTGCTATGATTTAACAAGATGGCGTTGCCATCAATATGAGGCTCTTATTCAAAATTTTAAAGGTATTGATAATAATACTTGCCAAAAAGTACTCATTTAGTAAAATTATCAGTATCGAAAGGAAAAGTACTCAATACCACAAGGTATCGGTACTTTTTTCGTGTCCCTAGGGATGTCGAAAGTTGAAAAAAATATCGATACATTGATCTTTTAAAAAATATTAATATCGGCTTCGATATATCGCGAAAGAAACATCGATATATCGGACCAATTTTCCCAAAAATATGGTACAGTAGCTCACGAAATATGACACGCGGAATAATAATGGAACGAAAATTATCTCCCTAAAAATAGACCCTATTTTCGAATGATGAAAATGATTGCAGGGCCTCTCAGGTAAAAATTGCAGGGTCTCTTTCGTTAACAAGATTAGACAGTCACACACTTCACAGAATATAATGGAAATCAGCACAACCAATTCACCAGCGAAACAGATTTACAAATAATAGACAATACTAAATACAGCACAGATCATAGATATGTTGAATATCATTAATCTGAGATCCAGTTACGATTTTTCCAGATACGAATTTAGTTAGATCGTGATATGCCGCTAATAATTAAAAAATGGTTGCCTGTAAAGTCGGTTTTACGGGCGAAGATTTTACGTGACAACGTCTTTTTCTCGGTAGAATATTTATTGATATGAATATAATTAAATTGCACAATAGGAACAAGGAATTGAATGAAAATAAGAATTGCACAAATTTTAACTATAGAAATATATTTTGTTTACTAAAACATTGTACATGTAAACTTAAACTTAACACGAGAGACTCATCGTAACGTTACCGAGCGTTACACTTTTTCATAAGTGACTCCCAGCCGCAACCTAATTTAAGACGTTGTCACGTCAAAAAATATCGTTTTTGATACGAATTTCGATATTGGTTATTTTACATCGATATATCGAATCAAAATATATCGGCAAAAAATATCGATATATCTAACAAAAAATATCGATATATCGATAATTGATATATTTTCAACAAGCCTACGTGTCCCTAGTCTCGGAGATGTCAAAATCAAAAATTCGTGCTGGTTTTGTTGGTGGTGGTCAGATGAAAAGCCATTTTAATTATAGGCATTTCAATAATATCTAATCTTATTATCGCAATGGTCGTACTGATTTCATTAAAGATATGGTATTTGTCATTGTAGGGGTAGTAAGTTACCTATTGATCGCAGGTTGGGTGTAGAAAACGTGCTTGGGAACATTGTTGATTACATTTTTGCTTCACACTAAAGTGGCAATAAAAGTAAAATCATTTTTTACATGATGGGAAATGAAAGTTCTCATTTAAGTGGCTTGGAAATAGAAGAAAAAGCTGTTGAAGTTACAGAGTTTTGGACCCAATATCGCGCAACTATAAATGATAGTTGCAGATATTTTAGTTTAAAAAGTGATGGTTCAGTATCAGTTTTTAAAGGAGAAGTAGCTTTAGGTCCACTATGGGCTATTTCAACACCACTGGAAAAATTCTCAAATGTAAGTTTCTTAACAAATGTCGCTAGAAATATAATAATAAACACTTTGTCTAACTAGCAGACAACATCGGGTGGGTTTGCAAATGCTCACCGAGTTTTGTCCGGCATTATTGAAGTTGGAAAGTTTTTCTATTTTACAGCGGCTTACACAGAAATATTATGTCAACAATTCTTCTCTGGTAACTTAAAAATTGCTGTTTGTAATGAAAAAGTTGCTGTTCGTAAAATCTTAGCACAACATTTATGACGGGAATAAGCAAGGTTGTAAAGAAGGTGTTTCTGTACACATTCAATGCAATCTGAGTGTACTTGATATCCCATATATATAAGGTGACAGAATTCACTGTCTGATCAAAATATAGAAGATAATGACCATCAACAAAGAGCTCCTTTTTAGTTTCGTTTTCGAATCAGGGGGCACATAAGGAATAAAAGAAAATAGTTGTGGGCATATATGGGTTAATAAATATTTAATATACTTTCAGAATCTTCTGAAGTTTCGCCATCCATGTATTGTACGTTACATATCGGCTTGGCAGCAAAGGTCAACTCTCCATCTTGCTACAGAATATGTACAACCATTAGCACAAGTCTTAAAATCTCAAACACCTCTTCAGATATGCATTGGACTAAATAATATTTTAAGAGCATTAGTCTTTTTACATGAACAGGTAATATTGTCATTGAAAGTGTGAATCTCATCTTCTATTTTATGACACATGTTTTCTTTTCTTAATGAAACAAAGTTAATGTTTTTTTTATAGATATGTCCGACAAATGACTCACCCCACCTGATGTTAAGTGATGGTGAAGTCCAGACATGAAGATAGCTGGTACAGCAGTTCTACTTGCCACACCGGTCATCCTAAATTTGCGGTTTTAATGTTTTGCTCCAAGGACCGCTATCACTGTATCATTATTACTTTACTGGTTTTAAGTATGAGAGTGTAAAAGTGTGTAAGCTAAAAGACAGAATTACTTTTTCATTAATTTCAATTTAAATAGTATACATGGTTTATTTAATTCTTTTTCTGTGCTTAGTTTATCAAGATTAAGTTCTCTATACATTATCTATCCAGCATATGAGACAACTCATACATAAAAGAGATTCAACTCTCTTTTATGTGTAACATTCAGGAGAGACAAAATCTATAATAAATTAGGAATTATATAAATATGAAACAGGCTATAATTGACTTTTATTAAGAAAAAAGAAACAATTTTAACACCAAGATTTTTCACCGCACTGGGGGCAATAATCTAAAATTAATCCTTGAAACAAAGTATGGACTGCTGATTATAATAGTCTGCATTTTCAAAGGGTTTACTGTAAGGCCGAATGACTAAGTCCACCTAATAATTATAGCTAGGTCTGAATTGGTAGTTGCTTTAAGCATTCGAGAGGTCAGATTTTATTGTAATGTTTATTAGTCAATTTGTCAAAAGAGTTTATGTTGATTAACTCATTTTTTGTATAGATCCCTGTCAATGATTGACTTTTTGACAACTTTTTTTACTTTGGCAGTAAATAATTTCAATTGTTATTTACTAATTAAAATAAATCCCTATGCAATATTTTGACACTATTATGATTTATGAACATTTACACATTCTAGGAATTTCATTTCAGGCAGGCATGTCACACAATAATATCAGCATTTCTGCTATTTATGTAACTGGGGATGGTCAATGGAAGTTGGGTGGTTTACAGTATCTTTGTTCCTTTACTGAACTTACTTCAGCTTATTTGAAACAAGCCAGAATACACAGGTACTACAAGAACTTTATATCAGAAATCAAAGATAATATGAAAGAAGTTTCAGTAAATTTGCAATTTCAGGTATGACAAAGCAGTTGATATGAATGAAGATTCATATGATTTAACTACAAAGGTGGATCAATATGCTTTTGGTGTACTAGTTGAAGATGTCTTTAAAGGGCACCAGGATGGTAATTATGCTATAATATTGTCAATAGGATTAAGTATCCAATTGGATTTATAAGTGTATTAAATGAAATAATCACAGTATCACTCTTATGTTACAGATGAAGTACCACATTTAATGGAATTTAAAAAGTATTGTTCAAATTTGCTGCAGCACCCTAAACCTGAAAATAGACCAAATTTGTCAGAGGTGCTTCACCATGACTTTTTTAGTCATGAATTTATTTCAATTTATAAATTTCTGAATTTTTTACCACTGAAAAATGAAGATGAGAGATGTCAATTTTTCTCCAACATTTTAATTACATTGAAATGTTATGATGAGGAAACTGTAGCCAAACAACTTGGTGGCTTACTATTATCAAGGCTCACTCTGCTGGATCAAACCGCCAGAAAAGATGTACTTCCGTACATTCTGAGACCCAAGAATGGTAATAAAATACATATATTATTTCCTTCCCATACAGTGAAAAGTCATCAAATCGACATTTGGCTTAAATTATGTAAGATACATTCTCAGATTAAATCAAAAAGGGAAGATACGCTTTTACCTGTGACAATAAAAAATGCTCAGACTCAACTACATAAGTAACTGTAACACATGCTCACCTATAAATAAACATTCAATGAAGCGATCGAAAACAGATTGATTGATTAAGAAAGACAAGTGTTGCTGAGGCATTTGTTATTTGATTTTGAACTATTTGTGTTCTTTATAAAAGCATCAAAGGCATTGATTTATCATTATAACACAGAATATACGCAATATCGTTATATTGAGTGTACATGGAGCATGTTTGAATGTCCAATTGTGATTAAAGCGAACTGTGGTCATGCACCATAATTTAAGCGGATCACTTTTGAGCCGCGAGTGCCGTACCTTCCGTTTTTGTTTTAATCTAAGGGTACGTGTGAAAAAAGCCTTAGAGCGTGCTCTGCGTTAAGCGGGTCACGGGGCGGGCAACCGGGTGGCGTGCAGTTTTTATGTCATTTCATAGAGACCCGCCTCATGCAGCGGTGCTCTATGTATGTAATGAAACCAACACGCCGACTGGACGCCTGCTCCGTGCCCCGCTTATCGCAACGTACGCTCTTACCTTCTTATTTATAAACGATGACTAAGGCTGGAAACAGTGCTCGACCGACGGTCGGGCGGGATCGGTCGGCGTCGCTATATCTATGCAAGTCTATGTTGGCGCACACAGCTACGCTGATGGTACGCGCGTACAGTCGGTCGAGCCGCGCGTCGGTCCGGCTCTTCGGTCGCGCGTACGTCGGTCGACCGACGAGCTATGAGATTGTATGGTTGCGTTCAGTGCTTCACTGACGGAGCGACCGACCATATGCGTACGTACGTACACTCTAAGCAAAAATGAATATTGATACAGAGCGCCTTATTACTGAAGTGCGACTTCGTCCAGCAATATGGAAGTTATCGTATGTATTTTATAAAGACCATAATGCTAAAAAAGTGCTTGGCAAGAAGTTTGTAAAGAATTAATTGCGCAAAAAATAGCGTGCACATATTACAGCAAAAGGGTTCATTTTTCTCGTGAACTATACACACTGGCGCCGTTCGCTGTCAGCGTAGCACTAAATGCATTTTTGAAACCGACGGTCAGCGCTGTCGATCAGGACGTACCGTCGGTCGAGCACTGTTTCAAGCCTAAGGCTTGGATTAGTTACTCTATGTTTTGTCTCTGTTCATTGAATGACAAATGGCACCTGAGTGATATGAACAAAACACAGCTTAACTAGTACAAGCTTTATTATTTATTTATTACCGCGTTTATTAATAAAAGAGTTAAAGAGTAAATTGTTGATTATGATGAGTGTGGACGGTCGAGTTTAGTACAGTCCATAAGAATCGTCCATTTTTGTACAACGTATACGCAGCGGTGCTTTATGAAATATTATGAAACAAACACGCCGACCGGTAGCCCGCTCCGTGCCCCGCTTAACGTAGCGTACGCTCTTAAAGAGTAAGTTGTTGATTTTGATGAGTGTAGACAGTCGAGTTTAGTACAGTTCATAAGAATCGTCCATTTTCGTACATCGTATGCATACTCACTCGTGTACCTTCCGCCTTACGCAGCGGTGCTTTATGAAATACTATGAAGCAAACACGCCGACGGGACGCTCGCTCCATGCTCCGCTTAACGCAGCGTACGCTCTTAAAGAGTAAGTTGTTGTTTATGATGAATGTAGACGGTCGAGTTTAGTACAGTTCTTAAGAATCGTCCATTTTCGTACAACGTATGCCTACTCACTCGTGTAGTAACGTTTGGACAGTACTTACTTTTTACTAGTTATAATTTAACCGTCTGACTCAGTACTACTTATTAAAGTGTAAACTGTTTTCATTACAGAACGGTCGCCTATAAATGGAGACAATTCAGGCTTTTTCTCATTAGGCATATTCAAAGAGCATGTGAAACCGAGGCTTCTTCAATTATTTGGAGTAAGGGATAGTCAAATCAGAATGTTACTTATGAATCACTTCTCAAAATTTATTCATGTGTTCACACATGAAGAACTGTCCCAACATATTCTGCCTGAGGTATGATCTTTTAATTCCCAAAAATCAGACTATTCATGTTATATGGAATAACTAGGTACCTACTACCTACCAATACTTACTTATTTAGTACTTGTAAAATTTTACATCGAATAAATTACTAACATGTTATTTTAATATTGTCTTTTTGTTTGTTTTTCAGTTACTTGTGGGGATAAAGGATGTCGATGACAACTTGGTAGCATCAACATTGATTTGTTTGAGTGAACTTGTTCCAATCTTGGGAGCAGACACTGTAGTTGGTGGAAAAAGATTGAAGTTATTCACAGATGGACGACCAAATTCAAAATCTTCTCTAGAGAAACCTTGTGATAACCGTATTTATTCCACAACAAAATCTTTAAGAGATTTGCCTTGTTCAGAAGAAATATTCCACCACAGTGGTATTACATCACCTTTTGAAAAGTCTATAGTATTAAATGAAAGACCATCACCTGTCGGGGGAGAGTCATTTGAGAATGAAAATATTTTAGTAACTGAAAAAGTTCAAAATGGTGATAGTGAAAATGAATGGAGTGACTGGGATACTAATAATCGGAAATTGACTTTACTTGAACCAGAAACTTTTAACAATTCTGATATTGTTCAGCAACATCATGTTCCAAGTGAAGTCAATGATATACATTTACATAATATAGAGATAGTGCCTGAATTAAAAAAAGATCCTAAAAGTCAAGCATCATTGTTACAAAAGGCTGCATTTGAAGCCAAGAAAAATATAGTAGATATATCGGAATTAGACATAAAAAACCAAAAAACTGAAGTTTCTAGAAAATCAGAGGAGGAATTTGACTTTTTTGCAGATATGACACCAGTAATTGAGAAACCATCTTGTGTAAATATTTCCCTAACGGAACCACCTGAAAATGTTAGTAGTAAATTAAATTTTGTTCCAGATGATGCATTGAATGAGAAAGATGGTTGGGGAGATAATTGGGATGAATGAATATGGAAGTATACAAAACCTATTGTTATATTCGGTATATTTATGTACTTTTAGGGATGTTTTAATGAAGATAGTAAAAACGTATGTATCAATCGTTTTACGTTTGGAGAATGGATACCTTCATAAAAATTGTAAATCGCAAAGAGTAGATTAGGAAGAAGTGGACGGCTGCTTCTAAAATCATTTAAGATTTTTAGGGTTCATTTACTATTTAACATACTTATTTCTGACCCATATACTGTGCTATTTTTAAAATTTTGAATTTCCAAAAGAATTAGGTTTGTTTTATAATGAATACTTAAATAATACACTTAGGCCTTTTAATATTAAGTAAATTGTGTCACTTTCAATGAAAACGTTTTTACCTTTAATATTAACGCAATAGATTTATCTTATGAAACGGAATTATTACGATTTGAACATTTTTTAGTTAAATTCTCTTGAAGTATTGAACGCAGCCCGGTTGTCGAACTAGTTTCGCTTGCATTATTTAGCAAGAACGCGTAAGAGGAGTACGCAAGATGAACATGAAAGTGCAATGGTGTAGATATAGTATATGATATCTATTTGCTGTCCGATATGCAAACTTAGGTTAGTCCCTAATATAAGGTCATATGGCAAAACTAAGTAGTAAATGGGAACTCGGACATGCGTGGCACCGGAAAATCAATCAACCCCTGTTTTCATACCCCAACTCGGAAAGAAATCGGCACCGTATCAACTCGAGCTCTGTATCAATATACTTTGTATGAAACTAATTATTACAACGCACACTAATCGGAATCGAAACGTAATTGCCTCGTAGTAATAGATTGGGGTAGTGTTCCAAACCTACACTCAAGGTGCATCAAATATCAAAGGACATGGTAATGTTTTGTATGAGCGACTGCCCTGGCAATGTATAAATACTGTACTTAGTAATATTTAATGGTAAATGGCTGAATATTTATAATTTCTATGATAAAAGGCTCAGGATCTTTTGATAAAGTCACAATCTTGAAAATTATGAAAACTCCTACTATATCATTACATTACTACAGTTGATAAAAGATGTGGCCAATTATAGACTGTCATCAATTTCGCTTTTTCAATTTTTTTAGAATCTTTCTTCCCCTTACTCTGATTAACACTTCACAAAAAGTTTTTTAAAGCAAAAATAAACACAAATAATTTGTTATTGTCGGCCTGACAGCGGGTCAATTATGCTTTAGTGATGTAATCCTAATATGATGTCAATATGATGTTGATGCCAAGTTGACAATGTTTTTGATGGTATAATGGTAAGATCATATCAATATCATAGCCTGTATCATATTTTTACTGTTTATACGATACTGTTTTAATCAAAAAGTTGAACGTAATACGCATTTAAGTTGATATCATTTTAAAGAGTTGATCATACATAATACGCATAAGTTGATGTCTAGTTGATGTCATTTTGATATTGCATTTTTCGGAGAGCATAATATACGTAATGTGAAATTGACATCAAAACAATATCACAATTAGCGAGCATAATTGACGTGCTGGAAATCTGTGAAATTTTATTTTGTCCATTTGCAAAGGATTAATTATCATACAGCCTTGTCTCAAGTCTGATCAGAATAATAAAATCTATTATTTTAGGCCTTCAGTGATTTGTTATTTTAAAAATTAGGTCCAAATATGTCATAGTTTGAAGGAGTTTAGAAATAATATTGTTTATTTCGATATACTTACACAAATATTTTTTGTGTACATTCATTTATTTGTAAAACGTAACATTTTGCTTTTGAAACTTTTATACTTTTATTATATTTATGAAATATTTGATTATTTCACGAAAATTGAATAAGAATAAAAAACATGTAATAATTAATAAAAAAAAATGATAAAGTTACTAGTGCGAAATATTTATCACGTTAAGGGCAGTTTCTTAGCCATGTCCTTTGATATATTATGTTTCATAAAATTTATGTCAAAACTGAAACGTCAGGGTAAAAAGTAGAGCGTAGGTTTAGAACGCAGCCTTAAAGTGACAGGTTGCTTGTTAAGGGCCAATCGACCAAAGCGCCATCTGTACTGAGCGTTGTGTTTTCTTCTCCATTATTATGAAAATAAAAAATGAAGAACTTCTAGTAATTGGACAATTTGGACTAGAGCCGCAAAGAAGTATCAGGACGTAAAAAATAATTGTTTTATCTAGTTAAATTCTTTTAAGTATGAAATCTGCTAGTTTTATTAAATGTTGTCAGTTTTTAATAAGGAAAACCGTTTTTACTTTTCGCTAACCCTTAATATACAGGGTGTTTGGAAGATGAGTGCAAAGCTTTAAAGGAAAGCTAACAGAGATAATTTAGAAACATTTGAGCCATACTTGTCATAGACGAAGTCTGACCATTTTATTTTTAATAATTTTTAACGATTTTAAAGAAAAAAACCTAAAAGTACACAGTTAGTTCAAATAATGGCTAACTGACATAATAAATGAATTCTTTTTGAATTTATTTCATAAAACAAATGTGAAAGCAAACTAAGAAAAAGAGTTTAAAACATCTGTATCAGCAAACAATTTTTTTACAGATATTTAAAATTATCGTAAATTTTGAAAATGGTAAAAAGCTGTTTATCTTAGGCTTACAAAAAAAACACGGAGGGTGTTTTGTTTGTTCAAAGCTTTTTAAAAACATGTTCAGTTATTGTACTTTCTTTTGAGGTATCGTTTATGCAAATTGCTTAGAAATTGTTGAAACTAAGACCAGAAATCCTAATTGAGGAAGATTTTTTTAAATTTAAGATGAATAAATTAAAACAAAATTTAAACTGAAATCACTTATTTTTCGTGTTAAAAATGTTTTCCGTTTTCTTACTTGCGTTGTCGTAATTTTCAATATTATCTCCTGTTTCATGGTTTGAAATGCTGCATTTATTCTTTCTATTAATTGTTATTTTGTGTTTATCTCCACATGAGTGTAAACTAGTTCCTTGGCCTGACCCCACACGAAAAAGTCCATTGGAGTAAGGTCAGGTGACCAAGCAGGCAAAGAGATTGGGCCATATAAGCCGATCCAGCTATCAGGGAAGTAATTATTTAAATGCTCTCTTACATTTAAAGTCCAATGGGCTGGACACCCATCCTGCTGAAAGATGACCTCTCGATCAGTTTCGAATATTGGAGCACTGGAATCTTCAATAATGAATCTTGAATAATTTATGTAGATAGCTTATAAATCATTGACAATAGGACCTACATACCAAATTGAGAATAAAAAAGCTATTATAAATATAAAGTGTTATGAGAATACATTTCACATTGGAAGGTGTGGAATACAATGCACCAAAATACCAAGTATCCGTTCCAGGACACAGGCGTGCAAGGTCTGGAAGAAGGAGATCCTCAGCTAAGAATTCAATTTTGCCGAATTCTTCTCAACGGAGACATTGAAGATGCGTGGTTTTTAAAATCAATCCTATGGACAGATGAAAGTAAATTCGCTAGAAAGGGCATTACAAACTTTCACAACCTGCATCAATGGGCCGATAAAGATAATAATCTGCATTGGAAAAAGCAGGTGACAATTTAAAGAAAATTTTCCGTTAATGTGTGGATTGGCAGAACGTTGATTGGGCCCCACTTCCTGCCAGACAATTTGAACGGCGACAATTACTTAGAATTTCTCCAAAACCATTTGCCAGTTCTTGTTGAAGATTCCTGTGTTCCAATATTGGAAAGTGATCGAGAGGTCATCTTTCAGCAGGACGGGTGTCCAGCCCAGTGGACTTTAAATATAAGAGAGCATTTAAATAATTGCTTCCCTGACAGCTGGATCGGCAGAGATGGCCCAATCTCTTGGCCTGCTCGGTCACCCGACCTTACACCAATGGATTTTTTCGTGTGAGGTCGGGCCAAGGATAGTTCCTTGGCCCGACTTAAAACTAGTCCTTTAAACTAGTGTTCAAACTCATGTGGAGATAAACACAAAAGAACAATTAATAGAAAGAATAAATGCAGCATTTCAAACGATGAAACAGGAGATGATGTTGAAAATAACGACAACAAGTAAGAACACGGGCCCGTGCGTGTGTTAGAAATAGCGGCGAACATTTTGAACACGAAAATTAAGTGATTTCAGTTGAAATTTTGTTTTAATTATTTCATTATAATTTAAAAAAATCTTCCACAATTAGGATTTCTGGTCTTAGTTTCAACAATTTTTAAACCATTTGCATAAACGATACCTCAAAAGAAAGTACAATAACTGAACATGTTTTTAAAAAGCTTTGAACAAACAAAACACCCTCCGTGTTTTTTTTGTAAGGCTAAGATAAACAGCTTTTTTCCATTTTAAAAATTTACGATAGTTTTAAATATCTGTAAAAAAAAAGTTTGCTGATACAGATGTTTTAAACATTTTTTCTTAGTTTGCTTTGACACTTGTTTTATCAAATAAAATCAAAAAGAATTCATTTATTATGTCAATTAGCTAATACTTGGAACTAACTGTGTACTTTTAGGGTTTTTTCTTTAAAACCGTTAAAAAATATTAAAAATAAAATGGTCAGACTTCGTCTATGACAAGTATGGCTCAAATGTTTCTAAATGATCTCTGTTAGCTTTCCTTTAAAGCTTTGCACTCATCTTCCAAACACCCCGTATAACTTAGACAAAACAAGTGGGATCGATCAACTCCGTCTCCCGCTACGCTTCTCCAGGGGACGGATGATTAGTAACGTAATCAACGCAAGCTCCGACACTTAGCCTTAGTGCTGTATTTTATTGTTATAAAATACCAACGATATTAAAAACCCTTTAAAATACACCAGATGCGCCGAAAATTTATCTCAACAACGATATTAAATATCCTAGATACACCACGTGCGCTCAAAATGTGTCCCTATCAAGAAGTGCTTGAACTCCACTCAAGCACTTCTTAGTTCACAGTCACACGCGTAGTAGGTAGTGTCGTTTTTTCGACAGGCATCTAATCAATAATACTTACTATAAACTGATTTAATAGAAAATATTTTTGATATTCAAATGGACGCTTGGTTATGTTTCTCTCGCGCTCCGTACATGATATATTGCTAACAGTGCATTCAGAATTAAGATTTTAAGTCATAGAAATAATGTCTATATTCGAACTTTAAATTAAGTCCTTATGTACTATGTATTAATTGTGACTCACAAATTAATAAGCAAAGAATAAACTTGGATTATATACTCTGTTTTGTCCCTGTTCATTGAATGACAATAAATGACATTTGAGTGATATGATCAAAACACGGCGTAAGTAGTCTAAGATGGTTTTCCAATTACGGCACTAGAGCGCATTATGCGGCATAATGCTTAACGTTGAATGTTCCAACTACAGCAACGCTTCGCACAATTGAGACTCAAAAGTAATGCTTTCGTGTGATGCGTGCAATCGTACCAACATAGTCACAGAAAATTAACAAGTGTTTTTTCTTTAAGTTGGCATTGATCGAAATGATTTATTTATATGTTATCGTTAGTAATATTATTTATTGTTGAAAAATTATTAAAGCTTTCGTTTCATTATAGTAGGTATTTTTTTTAAATAATCAAAGTTAATTCAAACTTTGTTAAAAAAATAAATATAATTTGTTTCTTAGGTTTTCACGCACATCTCTCATAAAATAAAAGTTTGATTCTGACGACGAAGCCTGTAAAGGTTACGAAACGTCAATAAATAAATAAAGTTTCGTGCATTAACCCGTAAAAACTAGTTTTATTAAATAAATATAAGTATGGATGAAGGTACAAACATTGACTTTTTTTTCAACACTGAACTTAGCGTTAGCGCTCTCTGCTGGTGCATTTTAAAACTAATTCACGTTCCAATTAAGCATCAGCATAATTCGGCATTGTGCTCCACTGAGTCGCATTATGCTCTGTAATTGGACAACCTAAGCTTATTCTCCGTTTATAAATAAGGCGGTGAATGTTTAAATAATGCTTTATATTGTTTTGACTACGCTATCATCCCACGGAGCTTAGTGGATCGCCCAATGTACCTTTTGGACAGTTTTCCGCCACGATGTTGTTCGAATGTTGTATCCAGGATTTCTAATATCGTTGTAAAATGCTTTCTCATGTGCAGAAAGTTGCATCCACATCACGTGTTTTAAATTAAGCACCATGCACCACCAATATCATAATCGGTTGAAGGAATTTGTCAGTTTTGGTCGTTGTCTTTGACCAGTGGGTGTCTGTAATTTTTCCAAAAATTTAAGTTATAAAGACGCCAAGCCAAAAAAAATATTAATGATATTTTTTGTGATGAGTAAAGGTACAATAGGGGAAGAGTTTCTAACAAGTATATCAGTTATAGTTTTGTTGCCTAATGTTGTTATAGTTTTAAGTATAGCGTCATTTAAAAAAGAGTATAGTTTTGTTAATAATAAAAATGATGGGACTTCGATATCGCAAGTGGTTCGCACGTTCGGTTTGCGAACGCTGAAGTTAAGCAACTTGCGCAATAGCCGATCTTCTCATAGTTATACCTATGTGTATATTTTATATTTTAAATGTAAATTACAATCACCAATAGGAAAATATTTTTACTGATATTACAGCTACAGAGATGTATATAAGTGACGTACTTATGCATAATAAGACGCTTACAATTTGTTTAAATCGTTAGTAACGATGCCTCTTAGGAAAAAAATATGATAACTTGTTTATAGATACTTTTATCTTCTCAAGTTTTTGTCTAAGGTAACTTTACGACAAAAACTTACCGTTTTGGTGAAAATCGAAAAACCCAACTTTTTTGACCTTCTACCACGACTCAATTTATTTCCAAGTACTGGAACGATGGGGAATTTTGAAATGTTATTTTTAATTATGTTTACAACAATTTTACTCACTTCTAGCTAGATGTAAATTTATGTACCTATGAATGTCTAGATTGACTGACCGGATTGTTTTATTATTATATTGGTTGAGTTAGAAATAATAAGTGTTGTATGGAATAATTAGTTTATTTACTTATATTTTTGCAGTAAGCCTCACTCATGCTCAGCCTCTAATTTGGTTTGTTTTAAAAATCTAGCATATTCTTTGAGACGTAAGGCATTGATATTGATGAAGCCGGTGCTATCTTCAGGAGAAAACCCACCAGAGACGTCCATTGACACCAATTCTTGGTTGTACAAACTTGTTAAACTTTTTCTTGATAATATTGTTACTGGAAAAAAGCAAAAACTTATAACAGCAAAAGTTGTATGTGTATTCCTGGTAGATATAGTAGCCGGCAAACATCTTGATCGAGTGCGGATTGTTTTAAATATGCGTAGCGGTGAAGTGGGGGGCGGCGGGAGAGGGGCGCGCGCGCGCTATTTTTCAATCCATTGACTCGCGTCGTCCCGCTCGCCGTCTCAACGCCAACGTCCCGCTAGCTCCTGCGTACAATTCCGTGCAAAAATATTACCTGCCTTTTGATATTATTGGTATCTACTTTTTGTTTTTGCCGATCAGTCGTTTGTTTATGTGTTGTAAATTCTTCTTGTTCTAATAGTTATTGTTTTTGTTGTTATACTTCAGTTATTGTTATTTTTTGTCGTTTTGTGTACCCAATGCCAATAACATTAAGAAGACAATCAAGGAAAAGGATTTTAGGTGTTTTCATTTTCATAAAAATCCAGTTGTGATATGGATATAAAAGCCCGAGAGCCCGCGACGGCCAGACCTTCGTTATTTTATAAAAGCTGAAAGTTACTCTGTACACGTCCCCTATAAGGGTAAGAGTTTGAGTTGTGGTTACCTGGGCAGGTAACAGTTAGTACAGGTGTATAAAATAGTACTTAATATTTGTTAGAGTATAGAGCTAATTTTTTTTTTATATTTTCTTCGGGATAACTTCAGAAATCTCGTCATCCATTGCCGGACACTTATGATAGTTGCTACCCCCTGCCAGACACCCGTAAATTTTAATAAATTAGGATTATACTTTCGTTATAGTATAACAGCTAAATTTTATATAATATGTTATTTGGGGACCTTTAAAATTTATATGTACCATTTATAATAATGCTTATTTGAAAAATGATATTTAGAGAGGTGGTGGGGGGCGACGCCTTACACGAACAAAAATTAGCACTATAGTTAAATATTTCGCAAACGAAACCCTAAATCGAAAAACGTAGATACTCGATAGTTGTATGTATATTTGACAAACGTTTATATTACGTTCGTTCGATCCTAGCTATTAAAAAAAGTAAAAAAAGATCAAGATTTATTTACACACTGTTTTTTATCTTTCTATATTATTTTTTATTTAATCTCGTCATTATGTTTTGTAATAAAAACGAACGAACCTTAATTTTAGCCATATTTTATGAAAATCCTAAACATTAAAATATAATTCCTAGCGCACATTTGCATACGCAATTTCCTCGTATGTGAATATGCGTGAACTTTCCCCCACTGAGAAAAGCGTCATGATGTTTGCCGGCATTTATACAATACGACACAATATAAAATAACAACAAGGAAAATAGGTAAATTGCTTTTTCGTGCGATTTGGCTTGGCAATTTTGTTTACCTTGTATAAAAAAGAAATTTATACAAGGCACAGCCAGTTACCCCATCTTATATGGAGGCCCGTTGCGAAGATAGCTGATGGCATATTTAACATGCCGCTGCTACGTGCTTTTTTGTCGATTTTTCTTTATCGCTTATGACAAAAATAGAATATAATATTGTAGTGTATTATTTGATGCATTGACCGAATGAAAATTGACACTCGAAATAGGATTCGAACTTACACCTTCCACCGTGGTAATGTTTTTTTAATTAAAAATTGGCAGTCAATGCTTTAAATAATAATACTTATAATAGAACATACCATTTCCTTTGAATATCTGCACCGTCACACTGCCATTCACTAAATCTTGAGATTGTTCCAAACACTTCCTAGTATAGTTTGCTTCGGGAGAAAACCAAAATCCATTATACACAAAATCTGCCATCCTGTCTTGTAGATACTTCTTTATCCTGAATTATTTGTGAAGGTAGAAGTGATTATTTGCAATACACAATTTGTCAATGCAATAAGTATTTGTTGTATTTTAATAGGGATGGCCTACGCCCCAGCAGTGGGGACATTAAAACTAATAGGCTTTATGATGATGATGATGACATACCTCAGGACTTCTCTGTCGAGTGCGTAAGCTTCAAGATCAACATGTGCGACGTGCAATATTGTACCTGCTGGAGTTTCATATAGTCCTCTTGACTGTAATGAAATACTAAAGTTTTATGGCTTTCAAATCGGCGTTTTATTAGTAGAAGTTGGTGTTTTGCAAGAAAAAATACTGAACGGATTTGTACGAAATTTGTCAACCTGTCTGTCAAGCCTGGAAAATGAACCACAGCCATATTTCGCGTGGTTGAGTTGCGACTATGAGAGTGATTTATATAATCTCTCTCATGCTGCCCTCCACCTTGAAGATATGCTAACCCGCCAACAAAGAAACTAATCTCAACCAATGACGCAATACATTAAGGCCCTCTCGCATATTATGGCATGGCTGTGTCACTGGCATTTTTTTATTATTATTATTATTGTAAAACTATTACTTTATTAAAATAAAGTAACAGTTTTACAATTATTATTAGTGTAACAGAAACCAGAAAGGTTCGCACACTAAGTTAGCCATTGCTGATGTCCATGGACGACGGTGACAATTTAACATCAGGTGACTCGTCTGCCTTCGATGGTAATAAAAAAGAATCCTGACCCTGCCTGACAGGAAGTGTGAGTGTCAAAATTCGTATTGTTTTTTGGCGTGATTAATATGAACGTCACCTTTAATCCCAAAAAGCGGTTTTCGACTATGTCGACTCTACCCACGCCGTGTTGTCCGCCTAGTTTGTTCAGCGTTTCCACCATGGCTACTACGTTGGTGATAAGAAGGGCTTTCTCGTGACCGCTTGGAATTTGCACCGACACTGGTAATCCTGGTTTTCATAGAAATCAAAATCTTTATTCAAATGAGGATCCGTGACGATTTTAGTTGAGAATATAGATTCATAGAGCTAAGGATTCCATAAAATACAGTGGTTAAATTTTTGTTTTTTACTAAACGAATTACTAAACGAATTTCGGCTGGCCGCGTGGTGACTGTGACGTCACAGAGTTCTAGCGTGCGTAGAGACGCTACTGAAGTTCGAGAGGAGTGAACCACAATCGAGCTCTGTGACGTCATACGTTTCGGCCGCCGGTGATTATTGGCTACCATAAAATTAGTTATAAAACCGTAACGAATGAACCGATTTCGATGATTTAAAAAGTATATTAATTAAAAAGCTTATTAGATCATTGTACTGTTGATTTTGGGTTGATTTGCTGACCTCCTGTAATGATCCTCATTGGATGCATACTACAACTCTTTTGAATCGTCCAAATTTTTTTTCCCTATTGGACGTATTTTTTAGCTGCGGTGTTACAACGTCAATATTTATTTCATATACCTAAACCTGTTGAAATTATTGGTAAGTAGGTACAGTTCAAACCAATTTAAAAATCAAACCAACGTATTTTTGTTTCAAGGTTTTGATGCTGTGTTTTGCATACAAAGTAAACAATCACACAATAATAATTGAATATCTACCTTTTTCAAAGTTGATGTCAATAACACAGGGATAATCTTCAGTTTGTGGAAGGTCACGCGTCATCTTGTAGATTTTTGCAGGAGGAATTGCAGCGGGGTCTTCCAAAACCCCCGACTCATAACTGGAATAAAAAGATGATGGTATTTTTTATTATCCGCAATATTTTTTATGGGACGCAATAGCAAAATTTAAAAAATTGCGCAAATATTGTGAGGTATTATACAAAAACCCCCATAATTATACTTCATCGCATAATATATAAGTAGATTAGTTTCATGCGACAACGTAAATTTAGAACCTCCCATATAATTAACTGAAGTCACAGCTACTATGCGATTCGTGAATAGGAAAGCCAGTGACCTCCATCTGTCAAATGTCACTTGAAAAGTAAAGTTTGCAAAAATTTTAAACACTTTTTTTTAGAACTAAGCTAATCTTAGAATAAATACCAAACATTTGTTAACAATACAATGAAATAAATCATATGAAACGTATAGAGAATGAGTACTGGAAAAGGGAAATATAAGTACTTTAGTTTTAGTTTAATACAGGTTTTAAAAGACCGTTTTTATTTTAAATAAAGTTGTCGTTTAAAAACCTACAATAATTCGATTTTTTATTTTATAACCGAAAGCAGCAGTAATGATGATGACTACTCCGAGAGTAGTGCAGAGATGAGCATGAATTAAAAAGCTAGATTCTAATTACTATTTGACGATGTACTGTATATGTATTCTACCCGTTACCCTAGAATCCCATAGCACAAGCCTAGTGTTACTTTGCTTACTTTGGGGCTAGGCCAATTGGTGTGTGTTGGAAATATTTATTTATTTATTTAATTAATGTTTTTTTCTTACTCAGTCTAAATAAATAAATATTATCAAAAATTTTATATTTCTTCTCAGTTAATCTTGGTAAGTAAATAAGTTTTATAAAAGAAAAACTTTTGCTCACTCTAATTGGTTAGAATTGATAGCTATGACGTCACAATATGGCGCTCAGTCGGTCCTATTCTTATTTGAATCGCATTGTACTACTGCTGCGCTTAAAGACAGGAATGCACCTGGGCCTGATCAATAAATAAGAGTTGAAAGCATAAAAGCCATGGAAACGGCTTCAGAAGTAAGCGCGATCTGTGACAGTGGCATACTGGTGAAAGATCTGGTGATCTTAAAATTATTAAAAGCGTTGGCTAACAGTAACAAAATATGGATACTTAACCGCCATATTAAAATGTTAGTACAAAACAAGAAAAATAAATATTATACTGTGCAGTCCTACATACACGGGAATCGCAATAAAATTATTAGGAACAAAAACTTTAAAAATAACTTATATAATAGGATGAAGCCTCAGTACGAATCAATGAGGGCTACCGTTTTCTGCCTCACCAGATTGCGCCACTGTTGAGTGAGGTCCTAAATTGTAACTTTTAAAGTTTATTAATACGCACATGAAATCAAAGGTTACATTTAGATCGTATTTTAACACAAAAGAACCATATCCTAAACATAATAGGCCATGCCACAGTGACGCGCAGTTCCGTTTTATTCGGAAAAAATGGGAACATAATCATTTTTCTAAGCTCAAATTTTTAATAACTGACATTCATTGCCACGTAACTCATATTTGCCATAATTAAGCCGAATTGTTACCAATTATTCACAACATTATTTTAATAAGAAATAAACCCGCGTAGTCAACCAACAAGCAATAACATTTGACATTTCGGAGACCTCACGCTACACTAGCGCCTCTAGCGGCGGATTCATACGCGATAGCCCTCATTATTATGTCTATGTTGATACTGTTAATTCAAAAGCAGAAATTGTAGAATAAACACTAATGAATAAACGTGGCTTTATCGGAGCGACGACACGTGGACCTTACCTACGCACGCGCGGAGCAGACTGAATACCAATTAATATAGAAAAAGTAAACAATACAAATTGTTAAAAACATCATTCTCATTATTTTAGTATAAAATTAAGTACAAAGAGAATTAACAAATAAGTTAAGTTAAGTTGAAAATCGGTCTACTACGATTGTTATAAAATTTAAGCAAATGTATAAATATTTCAATCAATACAATATGATTACGATGATATTAAGAATAAACATATTTCTTATTTGAAAAATTAATGACTGTATTCTTCAACAAACTTAATAAAAGATGCGTTGTTGCGTATTAAACGATATAATTAGCCTTTACTGGGAGTGCACAGAGCACCGCTCGTCGCTCGCTCTCGCCCCGCCCGCCGCCACGCCTTTGTTTTCGAGGGCCCCGGCGCCGTCCATTTGATTGTAGGCATAAAATCCAGCCGCTCCCGCGCCGACACCGCTGCCCGCGATATTCGAGGCAGAGGCCATTTCTGTCAGTTCCTTATGTGCGCGTTTCATCAGAACTTATGCTTCAGTGGTGAATCTAAGCATGGGCTAAGCTTTCTCTCTTCTAATTTTAAACGGCTTCGCACTGAGAGCGGCCTTGCGGAAAGCTAATTTTACTACCCTACTGTTTGGCTTAATGGTACATATTATCTAGACACGATTGATATAGAATTTGTACGCTAAAAATAATTCGTAGTGCCGACCTGATATGCATTATATTCTCATCCGTAGACCAAGGGGCTTTTGGTGTAGCTGATACTGGAATATTTTCTTTTTTAGCGTATTCGATTAAATCGCTTCTGCCTTGGAATCGGTTGAAGAACTCTGGAAGTCGCCATGGTGCGATAACCTATTGATAATAAAAATATATTTGTAAAAACTATGTCAAGTGTATTTTGTCTAATGCTAAATAGTGTTATGGATAAGAAATTTGTTGAAAGTGTCCAAGAACATTATTTGTCAATGCGAAATTAATTTGCCTTCGACGATACTAATTTTAGAATTTACAGCCTACGTACTTACCTATTCCAAAATAGGTTAATTTACCTACCTTGCCTTCTGGCCATAGTGAATACACGCTCAATTCAAAACGAACTTGATCATTTCCTTTACCAGTGGCTCCGTGCGATATGTACCTTTAACATAAAATCTGGGCATTATCCATATTGTACTTATATACCTTAAATATATTTCAGTCCATTGATATCCTACTTACTTTGCACCTAATTTTTTGGCAGCGTTCACTATTCCAACGGAGATACACGGTCTGGCTAATGATGTACCCAAATAATAACGACCTTCGTAAACCAATCCCATCTGGACTCCAGGAAGCATGTAATTCTTAATAAACTCATCTCGCAGGTCTTCTACTATAACCTAAATCATGAATTGCTAATGAAAATTAGACCCTAGTAGATACCAAAGGAAAACAATGATTGCTGCCTAGCATTAAGGCCGCCTGTATTGTGTACGTTCTGTCTATCATGTTTTTAATCTACTTATGTGTCTTGTATGGTGTATTACAATAAAGCATAATGTTATTTTTATTAATGATGTTTTAACCGATCCATTATTTAAAGTTAAAATGGTAAACAAGTTGTTTTTACAGGATCTTTAGTAAACGCTTATGTGAGTTGGTTAAACATACGTCTTTAGCGCCTATAGATCGAGCTTTCTGCTTAGCCTTCTCAAAATCCTCGTCTTGGCCAATGTCAGCCATATAGCAGACAACATCGTATTTTTTCTGGATTAACCTAAAACAGTATAAGAAGCGCTTAAAAACACATTTAGTACATTAATAGAATATGCAGAATCACCAAAGAAATCTCATGAACGTCGTGGACTTTGTATTTACCAGATTCTATTTCATTATTTAACATCAGCATGTCAAGTTTTCCTTATGGACAGAGAGAAAAAATACACAGAGAACGGAGCATACATAACATACAATAAGGCCGTGCCAGGACCAGCAACTCCATGTACCTGCTCAAGCAGGGTGTATCAGTCAATAATCAATAATAATCAATAATCAAAATGATTTATTCAGTTTAGGCTGTTACAAGCACATATGAATGTCTAGAAGCTACGCCATCGGTTCGTAAATCTACGGCGGGAGACCTTGTACTGAGAAGAACTGGCAAGAAACTCAGCAAGGGCTGTCTTTTTCTCCCTGTTTTATCATTTACAGAGTCGTCAAGTTGAAAAATGACTTCAGAGATGATTCATGAAGTCACCCTTCATTACATAATGTGAAATTATACATTAATTGTACACCTGCATTTTGATTGCTGTGTCACACAGTATAAATATAAACAGAGTTATTTATAATAGGTGTAATTAAACATTTATATCTTAAATATCAAAGTAGTTAGGGCAGACTCATCTCCGCTGGCAGCACCCGTTCACGAGCATGACGCATGAACCAGCCATCGCTTCGCTCAACCATATTTTAGGGAACGTAACGACCCGCCTCACACGACACCACCGAAGAGACTTTAAAGAGAGCATGACTACCCATAACCACCTATATCAACCACAAGATATTTACTTAAACTTAAAGTCATTTATCTGTAGGACACTGCAAACAATTACAAAGCAAAAACAATGGAGAAATCAGGACCACGCCGTTTTGTCATTCAAATCTTCTTAAATAGTCTGATATTCTTCCTTACGTAATCAGCTTTAAATACAGCTTTTCAATAAAAGTATCATCAACACATGATCCATAATATATATCATATAGAAATACCCGTTGGAATGGTTGGAACAGTTCAAACCCAAGCATTTTTGTCTGTAATATAATCAGACACTTTATAATAAGCATTCTTAATAAGAGTTTTTTTAATAGTCGATTTAAATTTAGTCAGGCTCAACTCTTGAATATTGCTTGGGACTTTATTGTAAAAGCGAACACAGAGGCCTCTAAACGAATTATTAATTTTGTGGAGCCTAGTAGCAGGTAAAGTTAACTTATTTTTACTTCTAGTATTAAGTGTATGTATTTCACTATTTTTAGTAAATAAACTAATATTTTTTTTGACATATACTAAGTTTTCATATATGTATTGTGATGCAACCGTCATTATGCCTATTTCTTTAAACTTATTTCTTAAAGAGTCCTTAACTTTAAGATTATAAATTGATCGAATAGCCCGCTTCTGCAACACAAATATTGTTTGAATATCGGCGGCATTTCCCCACAGTAAAATACCGTAAGACATTACACTATGAAAATAACTAAAATAGACTAATCTGGCAGTTTCTGTAACCGTTAACTGACGTATTTTCATTACAGCATATGCTGCAGAGCTAAGTCTCTTCGACAATTTATCAATATGTGGGCCCCATTGCAACTTTGATCATCCATCCGTACGCGAATCAAGTTCCTCATCGCAATATTTTGTTGTTCATAATAGTCACTCAATAAACTTGTCCTTTAAAAATAAGACGTCCGAATAGTGTTTGTAGAGCTGCTATTGATATTAGAACAATATACATCACGGTACGCGCGCGATCCGAGTGCAGTCGGGGTATGAGGTTGCGGGGCGGAATCACCTCCCCTGTCGCCCATTTCTCAATTTGTACGCACGAATTTTGACAGCTTCGTAATCGTATCGTCATATTCAAAGTGTCTATGAAAACTAAGCAGCGCCCTTATCAGACGCAAGGACAAACTTAGCTTTTTCCATGAAAAAATGCTTTGACGATTCGATTACGGAACTGTCAAAATTCGTGCTTGGGCCTCCGTTTTCGAACAATAGCGTATTCCTCAGAGCTGCACTCGGAACGCGCGCTTACTTTGGTACAGCTGCGATTTTGATGTAGAACCACACCACCAACACTATGCCCTTGTGTAAAAACGCTTGGCCAACAAGCCGTACACTTAAATTATACTTGTACGTAATTTAAAGTAATTTGGAAAACTGCATGAAATTTATAAATAAGATTACACACAATTACACAACTGTAGGTACTAAATATACCATTTCAAAATGCAGCTGGTGTCTAGGCCCCCAGAATAAGCCAGTATAACAAGGTCTCTCGCCATTTAAAAATCAAGATACCGAACCGTAGACGCTAATCAAGTGACTAGTATTCATTTGTTTCGTGTATTATTATAGTGAGAAGATAGCGGACGGGTCACGCAAATAAAGGTGACTGACATGTTTATTTATAGAAGATAGCACCGCATCACATGATAAATAACTGTGAAAGTAAACAATGAAACAATCATCTGATGGTTAAATAATTTAATGAAATTTCAACAGTTCAAATACTGAATAATCAAATGTTTTTAGACAATAATTTCATTATGATCCTCTACAGTAATTGCACAAACGGTTATAGTAGATATAAATATATTATAATATTAATGATTTTATTATTTCCAAATTTGAAACTATCACTTATTATTTATGTCTATTGACAATAATTTCAGATTGCTTTTAGTTTATGTTGTGTTTTTATCTTTTTTATGTTTATAAACTTATACGACCAAACTTCAAAATATACAGCGATCAAGAAATGATCTATCTTTAAAGATTTTGCTCTATTTAATTGCTATTTTCTTTTTCTTCCCAAGTTTTTCGAACTACTTTACACGACTTTCAAATACAAGTCAACTAACATAATCAATTACGTTCTAATTAACTATTATAAGGCAAAAACTAGCCATTTTTCACGAAAAGCTATGTCTTGCATGATAGAGCGAATGCGAAGTTTTAATGAGAATTTTACGTAGCTACTCGTATTTGCCATCAGTATACTTAACAAGCTTTAAATTGAATTAAAAGGAGTGACTGCATTCAAATTTCGCAAATTCGAATAGTCATGTGAAAGAAGTGCCAACGTTAGACCGTGCAGTATAATATTGAAGATACTTATATAAATATACATTTGCCAGTATTTATGAAAACGCCATTTTTTTCGAGCAACAATAAATGTATCCTGGTTTTTGGCTTAACCTGGCAGGAAAACAGTTCTGATTTTTTCAAACTAATAATAATTATAGTTGAAAGAATCAACCATAATTATGTTACAGTTCCAAATGCTGTAACTCCTTTAATTTTTATACAGTAATATTACTGGGAGGCAATATTTTACCATCAATTGTACTTTATATATAATATAAGTAGGAATGTAAACACGTCTAAAATATTAAATCTCACACAAAGATTTTCAGTGTGATGAAATATTTACTAAGGATGAATAATACTATCGAATCGTAAACTATATACCATAGGCTTTATGTGTAAGTATCTAATAGTGCATAATAGTCATTTGATTGATACCAGGAAATAATTTGGGGCACCATAGATGGTGCGACGCGTATATTGTTGATTCAAATTATGAATACACACAGCAAGTGTAAGGTTCATATTGTAAAGATCTATCATTTGGCATTAAAATATTGACAAAATGGAAGCAAATATACATATAACACTACGACACACAAGCATGCAAGGTTTCCAGAAGAGATAATTTTCATATTTATGGGTTTTATCAACAGATAATTGTTATTTCTCACGAAATCACGAGATCTTACTTCATATTGATAAAAACAAATTGGCGGTCTCAGGTTATGACTAAAACATAATAGCTATTATGTTAAAAAATAATACTAATTAGTATCAACTTAGAATAAATTAATGAATCTTATCCGAATCTTAAAACTAAACAAGTAAATTTAAAACTTTCTCAACAATAAATATTCAAATGCAATTTATCAACAAAAACATAGAAGTATTATATACATTTAAAAATAATAATAAAATGTTAACAGTTTATTTCCAATGATTTGATAAATCAACAAATACTTTGATAATAACGTGTACAAGTTTTATAAATTCCGCCAAAATACCGTCAGTTACTATGGTAACACGTATTTGTACATACTCAATGAACTTGATATGCTACACTGATTTCCATAAAGGTAAGTAAATAACAAAAATTCCACAGAGTCTATTCGAATTTAAATAGCGATTGTCGTCGAAATACTAACATGTTATAATATAATACACCAATAATTAGTATGTGACTTATCGAATGGCTAAAGTTCCCGCTAGTTAGGTTAGGTTGAAGAACTTCTGATTAGAGACGGCGATTCTTTCCGAAAAAGATCGATTTTTAAATCAATTCCAATCGTGACCTAATGAATTGATACACAAACAAATCGAGGTCAACAAGATCAATTTCTGAAAAATTGATATTTTTTTAAAGTTTTTGTTTATGATGTAGGTAATATAAATCTATTTTATTTAAAACAAGATACATATTACAATTTAACGACTCTTATCAGTAAAATCAGGTTATATAATGATAAAAAATATTTTTATTCAAAGATTACAAACAGACGTAACTTATTTTATTAAAGAGGGGCAAAGGAATCCAAACATACAGCCATGTCGCGAGTTTTTAAATAATTAACCCTTTAACCGGCATCACTCTTATAATACGGGTACATTCAATTCATTGTAAATACTTTTTTGGTTTATACCAAACAATAAAAAAAAACGAATGTCAATTTTCAAGGGTGAAATATCGATTCAGTACTACATATCGATATTTAAAATCAATCTTTTTGGCTCCGAAAATCGATTATTCGATTAATCGATCTCAGATCGCCATCCCTATATCTGATGCGTCGTTTAGGCAGTGAGAGAGCTCAGGTCTGAAAGGAAGGTGTCCGGGGTGAGGATGTGTGAAGAACCGATGATCACCTCCCAGTTCTTCACCGCGGCCGTCACCTCGTACGCGCAACGGATCTCCGAGAAGCAAACGCCTGTGAAAAATATACCAAATCTCTAATGACTAAGTTTAATTCGGCAGACTTACTCTCAAACTTAAGCAAACGTAAACTGCCCACCTGTATCCTTAGTACGAGTTTTACAATTACGAAAACTATGATAGTTTTCGTGAGCTTGCACTCGTACTAAGGGTATTGATTTTATTGTTTTCGTTTCAATACAAATAAACAGTGTTTAAATTCTATCATTAAATCATTTGTCTTTTTAATTTTTAAGTATATTTGGTTACTTTTCACCAAAATGGAAATAGAAACATAATTTACAATTCCGAAAACTATGATAGTTTTCGTAAGCTCAAACTCGTACTAAGGGTCCTGAAAACGAACTTAAAGGATATATCGCAGTCGGGGACTGTTACATAGGAAATTTCTAAAGTAAAAGCTCCCCCCGACCTCAATCAGCTACCAGTTACATTCTCTATTTACCTCGATAAGCAACGATATTAAAAACCCTAGATGCAACATCATGAACAAAATCATGGCCAAAACCTGCCCAAAAGATTCCAATTCACGGAGTTCGATAGGATGATTGCGTAGTAAAAACAATATAAAACATTATTTAAACATTCAAGGTCACCATTAATACCTAGTATTTTAAGGTTTCAATTTAAACGCATGCGAAAAGTTACGACAGTTCGAAATGCAAACTCGTAAAGAAGGATGGCCAAATCGTACCTGATGAAGAAACGATGACGTCCCAATATGCCATATATATCAAAAAATTCCTTATTTTTAAAGGTTTTAGAAAATATAAGCAAAATATCCATATTCTCCCACATTAAAAAGATATACCTTTTTTTGTGTTTTGGTTATTTATTTGAAATTATTTGGAATAACATGTTCAGAACGCACCCATTGACGATTAATTTCGCACATGAAATGATTTAATATTCATGGACTATGTATAAATTATTTCTTTTTCTAAATACCTACTTGTTAACCGTAATTCAATTAATAGTTAGGCATCTGATTAACTAGTGTTATTAGGTATTTAAAGAACTTTTATCATAAAAATAATTAAGTAAGTACAAATTGAGTATGAGCTTTTTGTTTAATTGCTCGGTTTATGCATATAACGGAAATTTATATGTCATCGATCAGCGCCATCGATTGATTGACACACAGTGACAGTGATCATTCTGTGCTAATGCTTTCGCTAAGATTATTGTTGTGAATTATTGTGATTGTACTATTTTGGATTACCTTCTGTTCTTTTGACCTTGCCATTGATTTACGGACTGATAAATAAATAATATTTTTGTCAAGACTTATCTTTCATTTATCCCCATACCCATCATCATTACCTTATGATGGGTACCATTATTACTTCGACTAGATTAGTCAGTGAGTGAAAGATAGCAGGTATCTAGACTCGTCTAACGACTTACTCTTTAGCCGGCACAGCCAGAAAAATGCCCCAAAATAGGACTGAACTAAAAACCACTTTTTAGTTCAGTCCTATTTTTTTTTCTATGAGGCATCGAATAAAATAGCAATGAGATCGCCAATTACCCTCTTCGCTTTTCGCTACTACATTTTGGGCTTCGCCGCAGTCGGGTAAAAGGTACTTGTTGATGCTGACCTCAAAAGTATAAGTGACGATATTTTAAAAAATCGTGGCTATTTATATAAGATTTTCAAACGGGATAGTATTTACAACATAAAAACAAACCATTCTCACTATAGTTTATTAAGGGACATCAAAAATAAAAGTCAAGTCCAGCTCATATAGAAATCTGGCCATTGTTCTTTTTACGACCCGTCGCTATAGGCGGAAGAATATAGACTATAAATTATGAACATACGTCGTGATGTCGTCGCATTCAAATGCACTGTTAGCATATAGCAAGTACAGGGTGCGAAGGAAAGAGACGGCTATATAATCGATGATGCATTTGATTAAATTAGAAATATTTCTATTTAAACAGTTTATAGTAAGTATTAGGACAAAATTTACTTCAAATGCGCTAAATAACAATCATTGATTAGATATCTTTAATTGCCACAAAATCAAACTCCTAAAAGTAATCAATCATCATTGATGTCTAATACTTTATTATTTTGCCTAAACATTGTTGCCTCACTATACCAATTATTATTCAATCTGAATTTGAAGTGCACATTCTCTATTAGTTTTTAACGAATTGTAAGTTAAAATATTCTTCTTATCTTAGTCTTACTAATATTTTAAATATTAACGTTTGCATGTTTGTTACTCAACCAGGCAAAGTGGGTAGACGGATTTGGATGAAGTTTGGCACACATATAGTTTATACCTGGATTGAGACATAACATACTTTTATCCTGGGCAAATGCTAGGAATGCTAGGATCCTGTGGGATTTGCTGTCGGAAGCTAGTGCTGAAAATATAAATATTTTGTTAGCTATAAAATCATTGATTGTCATTGGTCTTACCTCCGACAACAAACACGATCAGACGCGGCACATTTTTGATGGTTTGCTGAGCTTTATCTTTATGCCAATGTCCATAACGAACACTGCAACAAAACATTTCATAAGTACGTATACAAATACTTTTTATTATTTCCCAATATTTATGTAGATCACTGTGTATTGAAGCCCAAAAATAAAGCAGTACCTGGTAGGCGCTTGGTATCCCGATGTCTGAGCACGCCCAGCGAGGAACGGAAAGTGTCTTTGGTCTAATTTGTCATCAATAGCGTCCTCCATAATATCCTAAAAAAATCATTGGATTCAATCAAATTGTGCACTATCCATGTTAATTGATTCCTTCCAATACTAAGCAGCTTTTTTTTGGATTACAATTGATTATATAAAACAGTACTCTCACTTGACTAGAGAACAAATGTTTATATAATCACTTAAACAAATTCTTAAAATCACAAAAACAAGTAAAACAGGATTCATTGCAAGATTATTATTATAGCCGACTGGTTTTTTGGATTCAATTTATTTTTATAAAAATTCAACTTAAATTAATCTTGAGAAGGATATAATTCACAGAATAGGAAGTCGATAACAGAAGTACTGTAAAGAATCTTAATACTTATTCCTAAAATGTATATACCTTTATGGTAGTATGCTGAATTGCTGATGCTAAGTAATGATTTTGTATGTCATGTCACCTTGATAAAAAAAATAACTTCTTACCAATTACAAAATTATATTTTATATTATACCTTAATCACTGGTGTCCATCTTGACATCTGGTAAGTTTGTTCAGTGATTCTTTCTTTTCTGGGAACCTGGTATTGCTTTTTTCTATTACCCTGAGAAACAAAGGCAAGTTTTTATTGAAATTGCATGAAATATATTGTTGTGATGAGGCTAATACATAACATATATATGCTATATTGATCTACAGAATTCAACCTTATTGCAATGTAAATGGACACCACATTAAAGCACCTAACTGTATATTGGATGATTGTGTATCCAAATATAATATAGGACATTATTTAAATATTCAAAGTCACCAATAATACATAGGATATAATATATCCGTGGTGACTTATTTGGTCTTTGGTCCGAGCTTGAAAGTGAACGCAATAGTACTTAAACGGCGCGTGAGCACTACTTATTTGGGACACATTTTGAGGGCTAGGGTTTTTAATATGGTTGAATGTAATGTGTAAACTCTTACGTCAAGAACAACGTTGTGTTGTGTATTTAAAGTTTTAATATTGTTGAATGTAATATATAAGTAAACATTTAATAAAATGTTAAGAACGACATTGCGTGGTGCATTTAAAGTTTTTCATATTTTTGAATGTGATGCGTAAACAATTCCGTCAGAACGACGTTGGATGGTGTATCTTGGGTATATTATATCTTTGAATGGGATGAGAACACTTACGTCAAAAATGATCGATTTACACCTAGGGATGTCTTTTGAAATATCGATATTTATATCGAAGTCAGGAAAATATCGATATCCGATATATCGACCATTTTAACTCGATATTATCGATATTTTTTCTTTTTTGCTTTGTATTAAGTTTGCAAAGCAAAAACCTAAAATTAAGGAAGCAAAGGTTTCCGAAATATCGATATTTATAATGTGGGCAGGTAAATATCGATATCCGATCCGATATATCAGCCATTCCAACATTTCCAATACGATGTTTATAGATATTTTCTATATTTTTATAGCGCTGTAAGAAGTATCAAATCAAAAGCAATTTCGAATCAAAGATATTTATTTTGTTTAAAATGTTAAAACATCAGGGGCGTGCCCATGGCTCCAGAATAGGGTAAGCCCAAAGCTTCCAAAATTACTATACCTATCTTACTTTCTTGACTTGGCGAGCTTAAAAAAATTACGATTTGTATAAGATTCTTTATTTTATTTTGTGTTATATTACAATGATATTAAAGGACATTGTTCTGCGTCCATACATAGTTAGCCTAAGAACCAATAATCATGAAATATTATTTTCTAGGTTCGAAATCGCAAGTAAATGACTGGTAAAAACAAAGATTATTGACGGACACTTCTGAGAACTTAAATTATTAGGAAAACTAATTTTTTTTGAGGTTATGTTTAATATTCAATGAAACATAGGACAACCTGTGAACTTAGTATGAAGTGAATTAATATTACAACTAATTCATTTTATTCGGTGCGATTTTAAAGAATAACTATTAGGAAAAACTTGGTTAGGTAGGAATCGTGAATAAAATAAAAACAATAGTTTTGCTTCTTATTATTTATTGACTATTTTTCACATAATTGTATCATATTGTATTTATTTGTTTAATATTCATATTTACACAATATACATGTTGTGTAAATATGCAGCGTGAATGTGTATCAGGTGCTCTTGAATAATTTGGCAGTATGATCCTCTCAGGATGTTGTGGCACAGGTTCACTAGCACTTGGTAATAAGGTCTCTGCTCTTTGGTTACATCGATGGCATATTAGATAGCCGAAATAGTAATAGTTAAATTAAAGGAAAAACAATCGCAAATAAACACACACAACAGGTAATCCGAACGAGAATTTTCCGTATATAAAAAGTACTCTTTGACGAGAAAGCACGAATGCCACAGATTACTACGAATGCAAACTGCCTGCACCACAACCACAGAGTATCGAGTTTATGCCGGCCCTTCACTTGACAACAGTTTGTCCTTGTCATACTTAATAAGGAATGAAAAGGACAGACTGATGTCATGTATTTAAATAGCAAATACGAATAGCCAAGTGAAGTGCCGGCATTAGGAAGAAAGTGTTTTTTTTGCAGCGCTGTCATAGATTATACACATAAAATGGTATTTATTGTCTCAGATTATTTATTAATTTTTTAATTAAGCTTACTTAACTGGAAGTGTCCGTCACAATCTAAATACTGATAATTATCGCAAAAAATATACTAAGAATTATCATAAATGCCAAATTGGTGTTGATTCTTAGACCAATTTTAACATTGTCCTTTCAATTAATCAGTAGTTGACAATTATCTAGAAAGAGAGGCAAGAATTTTATTTAAGTGCATGAGTTACCATTAGGTATACGATTATACCTATATACGTTGGTGTCGATTTTGGTATGATTATCTAAACTTAAAACTAAATTTAATATCAGTCTCTCCTTTTCATTCTGTTTAGAGAATGACAAGGATACACTGTTTTCAAATTTAATTTTAGGTTTAGATAATCATACCAGAATCCACACCAGTTTAGTATATTTCTTGGGGTTCAAGATTTTTTTAATACATCTATAAGCTCTTGCGATTTCAAAGCAATGGTTATTACGATATTATTCAATTTAGATAGTCATAGCAGGTAAATTAATTGATATTATTGTGTTTAAATTAAGTCTACGAAATATCGATATTTTGGAATTTCCGATATCGATATTATCGATATCAGTGAATTTTAAATATCGATATTTTGGTCTCGATATTATCGATATTCCGATATATCGTTGCAACCCTATTTACACCCCTCGTGGATGCTCAAATTAGTAAATCCATTGGAATATAGATCAGTAACGAATGTCTTTATATGGCTTCTGGCTTCTGTCACAGCTCGTGTAGCCGCCCCGGGCCATGGCTCTCGGGTAAATACACCCTTGGTGATCAGTACCCTTAGCACGAACCATTCGATCTACATATACGTCAAATGTGTACTGATTTAGTTCTCGTTACGTCCGTTATGGCGCTGCTGTTAAGTTCCCATACAAAAATTTACGGCTCGAGCTGCACGTGCGTCACTAGCTTGATAAAGGTTTTCCTCAGATATACCGTTCTTGGATACATTGAATGAGATCCGTAAACACTTACGCCGAGAACTACGTTGAGGCCGAGGTTGAGCAGCGCCTGCTTGTCGGACGGCTCGAGCTGTGCGTGTGTCACCAGCTTGTTCAGGTTCTCCTCATATGTACCGTTCTTGGACACATTGAATGAGATCCGTAAACACTTACGTCGAGAACTACGTTGAGGCCGAGGTTGAGCAGCGCCTGCTTGTCGGACGGCTCGAGCTGTGCGTGTGTCACCAGCTTGTTCAGGTTCTCCTCAGATGTACCGTTCTTGGACACATTGAATGAGATCCGTAAACACTTACGTCGAGAACTAAGTTGAGGCCGAGGTTGAGCAGCGCCTGCTTGTCGGACGGCTCGAGTTGCGCGTGTGTCACCAGCTTGTTCAGGCTCTCCTCAGATATACCGTTCTTGGACACATTGAATGAGATTCGTAAACACTTACGTCGAGAACGACGTTGAGGCCCAGGTTGGCGAGGTTGAGCAGCGCCTGCTTGTCGGACGGCTCGAGCTGTGCGTGCGTCACCAGCTTGTTCAGGTTCTCTTCGGATATGCCGTTCTTTGACATTATGTATAGAGCAATGATGCGCATCTTGTTAAAATTTATAACAGCCTGCAAATAAGATTGTAGAATTTTAGAATATGCAATAATAATAATTAGGGTAAGTTGTCTTCAACATAGATTTTATATATTTTGATGTCTGCTTATCGTCGCAATGTCTGCAAGAAACCATTATTCCAAAACGCGGACTAATGTTGGTTTTGGTTTAAAACTAATGTTGTCTCTGTCTTCTTTTTAGCATTTTAGCAAACAAAACTGACATCATCAGTTTTAGTCCAGGTTTAACTTTAGTCTACGTTTTGTAATAAGGCGGTATGTGTTTTAATCAAATAAACTAATATGTACAACTGAAGCCGGGTCTTCAGCACGTATTTTGCCCTACACAATCAACAAAAACATATCAACATTCAACAAACCGTGTACATCAAACTTTGTTTCACTAAATATAAAAAAATATTTGTTTGCATCAACAATGTTTTTGCTTTCAGAGCCCGATGCATAACATGTACACAAATCCCCTCGCGCAGGTCGAGCGGCAGGATATTGTTTCATCGGCCATTTTATTGACAACTCGGCTTCGTTTCAAACCTACGCTCCCAGTACAAATTTTCACTCTGACGCGGACGTTTCAAATTTGATATAAAATATACGAAACTTTTGTCAAATTTTACATTTGTTGCACCATCCAGGTGCGTAGTAATCGTATTGTACTATATCGATCGTAGTTTTTGAATGGAGCCCTGTGTATTTTGTGTACGACAGCCACATGAGCAGTAGACGGCACGTGTAGAGAAACAAGATTCAGAAACAAAGTTTTGTGTAAGTGCTTTTGTTAAATGTTTTCAAAAAACTTTTGCTGGAGACCCGGTTTCAGTGACTCCATACACAAAGCGATTTTCATGAATATTATGAGTTTAACAGGCTGCCCACACTAGCGCCTTTCGAGCGTCGTCGTCGTCAAAATATAAATTATATTTCTGTAATTTAATCAATGATATGGGTGATTCTCAGTTAAGAGGTATATTTGACGGCTAAGCCAAAAAAATCAGTATATTTGGAAATGATGGTCTAAAATCTTAATAATTTCAAATAACTAAATGTGTTCTAAATTGTCACTTAAAATTATATTCTAAATGTGTATAATTTACTTACAATAACAGCACAAAGAGGAAAAACTTCTCTCCCCTGGGTTGTCCCCTAACCGTTTTTTTTGTAAATCAGTAATTTTGAGTCCATTGAAATTTAATTATTACTTTTCTATCGGTAACAACATGAACCCTGATAACTTAGTTACAGTATGTAACCATTAAATTCATTTATATTTGCACTTTTTATAAAAAATATTAATCGCAAACTGTGTCCTCCGAGTTTCGTGTCTCGCCCCCTGGCCTTATGTTTAGTTTGAAAATCGTATTTGTTTACCATAGTCTGTGGTAGTTTTGACCTTAAAGACACCGAGTGTCACGTGAAGTTAGCAGCAAGCGCTGCACAAGCCATCCACGAGGCAATTTTTATGGCCATTTGCGCAACGGTGCTCGTTGAGTGCAGCCGTGTTGAGTGATCGAAGTATTTACCCTGGTAATTTTTTTTTTCGTATTTATGTGTTTAAATACTACAATATCTATATACATTTATTTTAAATAGTGCTGCAAACTTTTTATATATTTGTAATCTTTGTAAGTAGTAGTAGTTTTACGGCAATTTTAGATTTTTAACGAAAATGTCTCTCCCCTGTCATATTTCCCCTGGCTGTTATGGTGCCAGGCTACTAACAAAACTATAAAAACGATGCAATAGCTCAATAACAGTAATGATAATTTATTAGAGAATGTACAATTGCATATAATTTTAGATAATTGTTTAGCTTTATATCGTTATTCCACTAAAATCTGATTGCACGGATAAGTACTTTACATCCTAATATGCGCTCTAAGCGTATTGCAATAAAGTTCATCTTGTCTCTACCCTGTACTCAGTATCTCCCCTGGTGTCTCGTAAAACGAGAAGAAATTAAAAAAAATACTGATCATCTTAAAATCATATTAAAATCATCTGTCTTGATAAAAGTAGTGGTATAGTTATATAAATATCGACACTTTTTGCTGTGCCACTGCTTCCATACAACCGATTACCTCTTAACTGAGAATCATCCATATATCAAAATATTCGCCTAAATTAACATTAGAAGAGTCATTCATGAGTTCAAAAATCTTATGAAAATCGATCTTTGCAATTTTGAATTTAATATAAAAGTTAAACAAAATTTAAAAGCGAGGCCGCTACGAAATATTCCAATAGTTTTCTGCAGCATTCAATAAGTCAAAATTATTAATGTATTTTAGTGTCTGAGATCAAGAATTGCCATTTTACGCAAAATTCATAGTCAAGATGTGATGGGCCCTTAAGTCCAATTTTCTACAGATTTTTTGCGTCTCATAGAGTCCCTCAGCGTATATCCGAACTCCCCTACTCCCTGAAACGACACTCAGTCCTAACTACCAGCCGCAAGAGTCTCGCAGGCTTAGTCTTGTTCTTGCTCAAATCTCGCACGGTCAGTCTTGGTCTTGCCAAAATTGGCGGTCTTGGTCTTGCGAAAATACAAAAACAAGACCAAGACCGATTTTGGGCAACACTAGTCAGCGTCCACGCAACGTCGATGCGACTGCGACACCAGGAGGCCTACTCTAATTTAACGAACGAGAAGTTTTTTACAATTTTTCTTATTCGTTTCTAATAATAATATTCGTTTGCCCGAAAATAAATTGAGTTTTATATTATTCTGTACGCCTACTCAATGAGAAATTAAATTTGATAGTTTATCGTTCAAATCAAGTATAACCTTAAGTTGAAGAAATTAAATTTCGTTTGAACTTCGTTACCGTAAGTTTCTAGAGAAAGAGAGTAGAACCGCAGCGCTGGTAGGCTTGAAAATAAAACCTTGAACTAACGCCGCGTCGATGCAACGCCAGCGCTGCGTAAGATCGAAAGACGCTAGTGTGAGGGGGTCTCTTAATGGCAAATAGCTAGTTTCTATAATTACGTCAATATAGAAACTATTACATAATGCTTTTAACAGATTGCGCGGAACAAAAGTAACTCACCTGATCAAGAAGAACAGGAACAATGCTTCTCATGTGATCCTTTATCTTTTCGCCCTCGGCATCCGTACCCATGGCAAGATCCTAGAATAATTATTAGTAGTCATAGCAAAAACAATACTCAGAATTTATTCTTATATTACTTTTTAACAGTAGAGGATTAAATCATTACCTGTTCAACCTTGCAAAGCTTGTCGACATATCCTTGGTAAACCTTCATGCAGTCCTCAGCGAGACGCAAATGTGTTGCATATTTGGAAAGTTCTTTCTGATACTGAGGCATTTTCTTAATCATTTGAGATAGATCCCTCATAGATTGTTTGTCTCCTGAAGAAGTATAATATTTAGTTCTTATATTTTCACGCACACTGTTAATTTAATAAAACTCTTTTTAAATGGGTATGAAGTGCAATTTATCGTTTTTTTTACACTTCTTGTCACAAAAGTGTAAAGGATCCGTAAAGTCGAGGATATTGAAAAAAATAAGAGTTTAGTGAAGTGTAAAAATAAGTATTTATTGATATTATTTTTATTCGGGATTACTTGTGCTAGTTATACATCTTAGTGCAAATGCGCTCAGTAACTGCTTATTCATTTACTACTGCCTTCAAAACGGCTTAAGACTGATTGTCTAATTTACTCTTTCTACAATCAATATTCGATTCCAGACAACGATATTAAATACCTTAGATACACCACGTGCGCTCAAAATGTGTCCCAATCAAGAAGTGCTTGAATACGACAAGCACTTCTTGGCCACAGAGAGAAAAAATGCAAAAAAAAATACTTATAGTATGTAAAGTGTCGGTTTCTTATACTTATTATAAACTTATTTAATAGAAAATATAAGTGATATTCAAATGCATGGTCAGTAATATAGCCGTTTATCTTCCTTGCGACCCGTACCTGCTATATTGCTAACGACGCATTCAGAATTGCGCGTACGAGTCAAAGAAATAAGGTCTATATTCTTCCACATATAGGTCGTAAAATTTTACGAGCTTGCATTTGGAACTATCATAACTCTTTGACGCATGCGTTTTAATCATGATCCTATACAGTATGCATTAAAGGTGATGTTCAATATTTAAATAATGCCTTATATTGTTTTTGACTATGCGATCATCTTACGGAGCTCCGTGGATCGTCCAATGTACCTATTGGACAGGTTTTGGGCACAATTTTGTTCGTGTCGGTGTATCTATGATATTTAATATGGTTGATTCCAGAGTACATTTTAAGTTGTACTTTGTGAATAAATATGTAAATTTACCTCCGCCCATCCGTTTTGACTCAGTGAATTTCTTCAGCATCTTTGTGACTGAAGTTGAAACGACGGCAATATGCTGATGTCGAAGCTCCACCCATAGTTCGTCATTTTCGTCTAAGAGCACCTCTTTTAGTTGCTGGCCTTGAGCTGCTTCATACCTGTCACAATACGAAAATGTCAACATTAGTTTCGTTTGTTTTTGCCCTTTCACTCTTCTATGTAACCTTGTATTGTATTTAACGGTGATGTAAATTTTGTTTATCCATCATAAAATCTTGTATTACAGGTGAATTGTAGTTAATCCTACTAATATTATGAATGTGAGTTTGTTTAGTTGTTATTCGATCACGCAAATCACGGCTGAACCTGATTTCGTTGGCACACATATGTATTTTGCTATGTGGATTAAGACATTGAATACTTTTTGTCCCAGAAAAAGGTTTGGTTCCTGTGGAATTCTCAAAAACTAAAGTTAACGCCGAAGGATGCTAGTAATATTATAACAATAATTAATTTTTATCTTTCTTTTTCTCCACACAATAGTAGGTAAGGCTAACCCGGATGTACGATGGGTGATGATGTATTGTATATACAAAAGGCTGAACATTTGATTTAATCAAGTCTTACTTGTAGACATCATTCTCGATGGGTAGTAGGTCATATGCCATCGCTTGGAGTGTGAGTTCATGCAGAAGCGGTGATACACAGTCGAAACCACGGTCTATGACCAGGAGCTGAGAGCGCGCTTTCTCTGGCCCTTCTCCCATGGTTGGTTCATCGGCCTGTTGAAATAAATTGTTAATATAAATAAAAGAGAACATTAACTTGGGAAAATTGGTAGAATTGACTGGTAGCTAGGTAGAATTGAATGACATCTTGTATCTAGCTAGAAAACATTGTATTTTACAAAATAAATAAATTTATGTAATTTTGTATACATATAACTCTTTTATTTAAATAACCATTTCTTTTTTTTTAATTACATATCTCTGAATTTAAAAAACTTAAGGTAAAGTAACTCAGTCGATAGTAATTTTTAGCATACCTTATAAGCATCTAGTTTTTGCTGGATGAGTTGAGCAAGCTCAACATTGCGTTCCCAATCACTGTTAACAAGAAACAGAAAATTATAAACATATCCATAAAAAGTTACAACTGTTAGGAAGTTTTAAAAGGCTAACATTAAATATACCTCCGGTATCGTACTGAAGGATATTCGCCTAGAGTGGCACACAGTGTAGCGATCTGCTCGGCTATCCGCTCCATGTTGGCATTGCGGGTCTGTGCTAAAGCAGGATTGTACATGCACTGGAATGTCTCAGGGGAGTCCAAGGAGAACACCTGACAGAAAAAAGAATAATAATCTCATTGTATGCAAGATAAAGCAGTATGGACATTATATTAAAATGTATAAGTTGACATTATTTTCTCTCCTGTATAATTCAACCATTGTGATTTTTTTGCATAGCCATAGTGGAGATTGCCTTAAGCTAAGTCTGCCACACTTGTTCACAGACTAATTTCTTTTATAAATTAAGAAGATTTTAGAAACAATTTAACAGTTATGCATTTTGCTTTTAGCCAAATTTTACAAACTACATATTTAAATATTAAAGTTATAATAATAATTAGATAAATAAAAAATATAATTTTAGTTTCTTAATATTTTTCATTGTGCATAGTTACAAAAATAATTCTCCTTACAATAAATGTTGTTTTACTATGACAGCCTCTTGCAGCCTTATGTATTTAAAAATGGAGCTCTTTCCCCTATAGTGGCATTATAGTTTTTTAATACTCCAAAAATTACACTAGAAACTGGTAAATTTTCTTTATTATCAAATTATAATGAATTCATGTCTACAATATGTAAAGTGATTATAGTTACCTGGCATTCGTAAGGTAAAAATGCAATGTTGATTTCCTTTAAAGTTTTTATTTTTCTTGCAGCTGAAGATTTGCATAATTCATTGAACAGTTCCTCAGGACACACTAATGCAGCGTGCAAACAAAATTATCAACCTATAGATATAGTATTCAACCATAATAATGTAATATAACAACAAACCTGTTGCTCATATGGTATAAAAGCTATGTTGATTTCCTTTAATGTTTTGATATATTTAGATACTCGGCTATGTGATAGTTCATCAAAAAGTACATCAGGACATGCTGCAAATTAAATTGAAAAAAATCTAAATAAACCAAATATGCATGATAATAAATGAATACTTTTTTAGATGATTCAACTGAAACATGTGATAAAAATAGCTGATAAGAAGCAGTGGATAACCAGTATACATTACTAATTTTTACTACAATCTACATAATGAATCATTATTAGACTAGTAAAAATTAATACTAAAACATTCATACCCTCAGTGAAGAACACATGAGCAGCTTTATACATGATGCGGTTGCCTACAGAAAAATCGTTAATAAGAGCATGAACGGATTTTTCACAAGGTGTGATAAGATAAATGCCATCCATAGTACATAAGGGTTCTCTTTTCTTGTGGATGTCTTCCACCACTGAAAAAGTAGAAAAAATCTAAGTTAAGAAAATAGATATGAAAAACAAAGTGTGAATTGGACTTGCACACAGACACTCTTAGCTGCGCAAAGGAACATTGAAGGTTCTAATTTATTAATTTTCTCATTTAAACTGAGATAGAAAAACATATCCTTTCATTGTTGCAACTCTCTACTTATTATAGTTCATTAGATAGATCCCACTGACGGATTACTTTGTAATACAGTTTCATAGTCACTTTTGAGTATGGAAACCTTAAGTTTTGAAGAACTTCAAGATATATAATAACATAAACCATAATATAATCTTTACACTATGCCCATTGAGAAGGTACATTTAGATTCATACTAATATAAAATTTGTAAAATGCAACTTATTTCTTTTAGCCTGTGCTCATAAAGAGAGACTACAAAAGTATGTAGACTAGAATAACTATCATATAAACATTGTTGTAGCACCAGAATAATTTCATTCAACATTCTGTATACATACATGTAATGCCTTCAGCTGAAATATCATGCATTTTGCAGCATGCAGACACCATTCTCATGGAAAGCTGGTCTACAATGAGGATTCTCCATTCTATACGTTGAGATTCTTTTCCTTTGGGTCCGCGGTAGCGGATCACCTCATTCATAATCTCTGTAAAAATTGTGGAATGCTGTACTAATTGGAAATGCTGATGCATTGTTTTAATTATGAGTTGAAAGTTATAATAACATATTGTACTAAAGTACCCTGTTGATAAATAATAAAATAAGTACAATTTCCTATATTCAAGCTTTCATTATATTGGACTACCATAATACCTTGAAAGTGGAAGTTTACCCATAACTTGAACAGAGATTTATAGTCGTTTGTGACGTTATTAACATTACTCACCCCACTAACCAAGATGACATAAGAAAATCAATAATTAAGATTAGGTCTCGGAACTTTAATAAAGGCTGCATATCTTTTAATCAAATATATCACCTATGGATTTATTTTGCTTACAAGACAAGAATTAGAATACATACAAGACTTAGAATAAAGTAAAAAATGGAAGTTTGTTTACATAAAATAGCAACTGATTTAAGTCAAGAGTTTTGTCAATTTATAATTGCAAAACCAATTCAGGTAAATGAAGGCCATGAAACATCTTTTCGTACAAAATAATAAGCAGTTAAACTATTCAAAATACAATAACTAGGTATTAGTCACCGATAAAGAGCCAGTTTCTGTGTAATTACTGGATGTTTGATGAAGTGATAGATTTGTTGACATAAAAGATTTTTTTAGATGAATATACATAAAAAGTTTTGAAATATTCTGTTACAGGTTAATTTTAGACAGAATTATTGTATACATTTTAATTTATTTTACTCACTTTGTCCGACAAGAGCTTTGAGAGCCATCTTGAATCATAAACTAACTAAAGTTTATAAATTTTGACCCTATGGTTTAAATGATTGAACGATTGAACTATGGATGATAGTTTGTTCTCATTGTACTCTTTTTGTTACGCCAGCACTTCTTTATTCGTTCTTGCTATTTGTAAACTTGACAACAGTCTCTTCTTTTCACTCTTTAAGGCTGTTTGTCCACTGCCGCCGTCACCGTCACGTCACCGAGAACGAGATGACGGTGCCGAAGTAGCGGTACATACATTTACTTAAGCCGCGTATCCACCGCACATCCGTCACCCGAGCGCTGTCATCCCGGCCGGCGAAATTGCGAGTAGATCGGCGTGACCGCTAGAACGTGGGCCGAGATTTTGACGGTCCGATGTGCCGGCAATACAAAACACGTATGAACTTGTCCACACACTGCCGTCGCCGTCGCACCGTACACGAGCTCAGTTCAGTTGTCTGTCATCAATTATCATACTATATCATTGTAATAAAAATTTAAATACGATATTTATTCATTAATAGAAGTTATAGAAAGTAAAGAATGTTTGTGGGATAAAACCAAGGAAGTGTCCAAAGATAAAAATTTGTGTAGAAATGCAAACAAACTAAACCATCGGTCGCGGTGGACAAACGATCGCCGTCACGTCATATTAAACTCGGCCCGAAATAATCTCGTTCTCGGTGACGTGACGGTGACGGCGGCGGTAGACAAACGGCCTGAAGAGTACGATAAGACCTGCTGTCAAAATGACAAACAGTAAATACAAATAGACAAGTGAAGTACCGACATTATAAGCGCTTGCAAAAAGGCTCAGATGATTGATATTCATAATCATTAATTCGAGAAAAAAGGTTTAACCATGGGTTTAACGGGACGATAAGACGCCTTTTATCTTTTTCTAACAGGGTGACCATAACTTTTTTTTCAAAGTACTAAAACTAACAAGTTTTTGCCTCATAAAATTATAAATGCACAACAATAATTTTGACGTCGTCAATAGTGTGGAGCTAAAAAACTCACCTGTTCCATCTAGTCATACCAAGTCATCCATACTAGTATTGCAAAAAGGAATATTTGTCACTTACACATATTGGTCTATTTCAGTTTCAGAGTGGTCCAAATAAAATGATTGTTTTTTTTTTCTAATATTAATTTCCATTGTTTATCATTCATCAAATACATAGTTACTGTTCTTGTTATCCTTACTTAATTTAAATCATGCATGGTACACCTACAAATCTAATGTCAATTCATTGATAATCCGTCAGGATCTAAAGAGCTCCGAGCCCATGAAGTTATATATAAATTTATGTGGAGTACTTAGAACAAAAAAATGCAGAAAATAGGCTAGTTGACTCATGTCGAATTGTATTAAATAAATGTTTATTTCTTAAAGTATTTGGTCTAAGGAACCTAAATATATTGATTTCACTTCATAAAAGCAGAAGATTGCTGTAGAAATTAAATTTAAAAAAATATTTTGTAGTCTATATTTTTAAACACTAAAAACGCTGTTTCCCACATCCGCCATGATTGTGACGTCTCTTATGGTAAACAACTAAATGTCATTCGCGTGTTACTGTAGGTGGATTCTTTCGTCTGACTTAATTTATCTTAAACACTTTTAACTTTAGAAAAGTTTCCGTTTACTGTTTTTTTTTGAAAAAAACTAATTATGAATGCCGGCTTTGTGAAAACAGAAAGCACAAATCTGCCAAGAATTGACGCATTGATGGTTGGTGAATTTATTGCACTAAACCTCGATTTCTGCTCTGCGGAGCAGAGAAACGACAAGGCATCTATGTAAGTACAGTGTATTTAGTATTACAATGTAGCAATAAACATAAAACTGATACAACATATGAATAAGTGTAATAAAGTTGCGTAGGTTAATTTCTTTCGGCACTTTAATCCACAACTTTCCTGGAGTCTTAAAGGATGTGTTTTAATATTCTCGTGCAATACAATAATGATAATTACTTTATTTTTCGTGGTATTTATTAGAAATCATGTTTATTATAAACTCAAATAAGTTATTTTCTACGTGTTTACGAGTTTTTGTTTACTGCAGTTAACGTCATAGCATAGATAATCTATAGACTAAAATGGCCGACAGCGTTTTTGTATGTCCATGAAAAATCTATTTTAAAATTAAAGATTTGTAGCTTTTTAGGTCTCAAAAAAATACAATACATTTTTTTCGGTCTACTATAACATTTATTAACCATTTAAAACCTTTTTCCAAAAAGGGTCAACTAGCCTATTACATCGACCATAATATTCAGAAATCAGAAATCAGAAATCAATATATCTTTATTCAAATTGGATGTATAGTACAACACTTTTGAATCGTCCAAACATTTTTTCCCTACCACTCGTTATTGGACATATTTTGTAGCTGCGGAGAAAAACGAGCGAAAAAAACTCCACAACATTAAAAGAATAATGTAACAACATTTACAAATCATTATGTTGTTACAACGTCAATACAATCATGATTTATTTAATATAGAACACCTGTTGGAATGATTGGAACAGTTCAAACCCAAGCATTTTTGTCTGTAATATAATCAGACACTTTGTAATAAGCTTTTTTAATAAGTGCTTTTTTTATATTATCTTTGAATTTATTTATGCTTAACTCTTGGATATTGCTTGGGACTTTATTGTATAAGCGAACACAAAGACCTTTAAATGAATTATTGATTTTGTGAAGCCTAGTAGCAGGTAAAGTTAGTTTATTTTTGTTTCTTGTATTGAGTGTGTGAACATAACTGTTTTTAAGAAACAAATTAATATTTTTTCTTACAAGTAATAAATTTTCGTAAATGTATTGTGATGCAACCGTCATTATACCAAATTCTTTAAACCTATCTCTTAAGGAATCCTTAACTTTAAGATTATAAATTGATCGAATAGCTCTCTTCTGCAGCACAAAAATAGTTTGAATGTCAGCGGCGTTTCCCTACAATAAAATATTGTTTTATATCCTTCTCATATCAAATTTCTATTCCTCTCACATTCACTGAAAGTTACTTCATCAGTAGCCTATAAGGTTTAGATAACAAAGACATTATTAAATTCTATATAATAAATATAAAAACAACAAAAAATTAGACATTAAATAACTGATCTGACTACCCAAATTTAATTTAATAAACATTTTATGGAAATAAGTAACTCGTTATTATACAACGTATGCAATACAAGTTCTAATATGGTCACCTTATTTTGTCTTTATAATGAGACAAGATCCACTCGTGACGTCATTCAACGTCATATTTTTGGCTTCAATTTGCTACTTGTCAGTAATCTTTCCACATAGTTATATATTTATGTTGAAAGATTACTCATGTCCATGTCATGTCCAAGCCCTATCTATCCTTATTCCGTCTGGATCCAGGGTGCGCGACAGCGCTGTCTCGCACGCTGGATCCAGCAGGATGAATATTGCGTAGAGCCCTTAATAATCCACCTGCGTCTGACTGGCAGAACACTTTCAGAGCTACCACAGGGAAAATAATAAGTTATAATTATAAAAACAGTTAACCAGAGAGCTTTTGATTATTATGACCTCCCATGCCATGATGACTCCATTTAGTAAAATTACAATCAAGTAATAAGGGGAAAAAAACTGAGGCTGGTTAGATTGTTAAAACGAGACAAATGGCTTCTGTTGTATTTCACTGAACTTTAAAAAGTAAAAACAAACTAAATTTCCGAAATTTTTTTCATGTGGCAGTCTTTATATTTTTAATACGTGCGCGGTTTTTTGTATGAAAATATTTTACTTTTTGATTCTATGACATATTCATACTACTCTTTTCCTCTAACCCCTCCGCAATATCACGGACCGTGTGTGGAAAGCAGAATACCGTAGTGGAATATAGTGCAGAACAAAGAAATCATACCTCCATTGTAATATCTATGGCCTCACAATCAGGCGGCAAATTTAAATAACAAAAACTTTTCGTTTGTTTTTCCTTAGTGAATTTCTTAACAAGCTTGCCAAGTGCTTATTTATATTTATTTATGCAATTTTATATTATTTTATATAACTTTAAATTCGATTTATAAAGCTTAAATTTTTTGATTTACGTCCTTTATGGTTTTGTGATAATATGCGCGCGCATTTGATTTTACGAATGATAAGGAGGCGGGTCAATAAAGGAACGAAAGAGAGAAAACATATTGCGATTTCTTTCAGATCTGCTATAGAGCCAGCAAGCATAATTTAATAGAATAGGACAGTTATTCAGTTTTTTATAAGTCAGTGTCAGGTATGGGCGTGTAATACGTTAGTGATTTTGTGTATCATTCACGTGTCGTCACGCTTTTCTTTCTTGTGCGGTAAGTATAAAAAATAATTGTTTCATGTCAACAAAAGGAAAATACTTGAGCATGGCTATAATAAAATATTTCTTTAAACATGAGTTTTTTTTCTACCTACATGATTATAACAGAAATAAATATATTCATCGAAAGTATAATAATGTTCAAAGGTAACTAGAAACTAGCTAGAAAATATGAACTTATGTGTTTAAATGTTATTAGCTGTTTTTATGAATATGTTTTAAATTGTTGTGTATGCATTCAATTAATATTTACATGTTATGTATTTGAATAAAAATGCCTATTTATTTTATGAAGATAAAAAAACTGTTATAAGTACCTAATATGAAATTTTTTGTGCGATGGCATTTAATAAATTAATTTTCTTTTTAATACTATTTTGATATTTAAATATTTTCTCAAGGTATGTAACACTGAAAAATCAGTTGCTCAATTACCTATTATTATTCCTTCGACAGCGACAGAATGTTTAGGCAATGATTGATAGCATTCGATATTTTTTTCATCAAATCATAACGTAATCGGATTGGATCGGTGTTTTCATAGATTTTAACAGTCGTCGTCTTTTTATCTGCAGCTGGTGAAAGTGAGGTGCGGCGGGCAGCCGTGGCCACAACACAAGACCCCCGCGGTCGCCTCATCGGCTGGTCCCTTGT